GCTCCTTCTGATACATGATTTACTCTTACTTCTCACCGTGGATTAGCTTGCTCCACTTCCAAAAGGGTCTTACACAGGAGCTTAAGAGGGACTTCTTATAGTTCTGCTTATACTGATCTCGTGGGAGAATTAGATAAAGAAAACAAATCAGGTCATTATTAAACTCTTGGAGATCAAGCCAAAGAAATAATCATAGACTGGTCAATAAGACCACACATGTCTTAGCGCTACTTCTACTGCTAAGCTTTGTTTCATGGGGCAAGATCAGTCTAGCCCCTTAACATAATAGTAGACTTCTGCTTCTAATGTGCATTTGGATCAAATGGACTGGTGCTAAGCAGGCCTGCTTCTCATGCCAGGTCTGTGAGAAAATAGAACCATCCCCGTGTGCTAGGAAGGCCAACCACTGATGTGCTGAGCAGCAAATGACCTGGCACATTTCTCTGTCTTGGTTTCATCCACAAGAAGAAATTCACATCCAGTAATAATTATGATAACCTACTTAGCTAGATGCTTGCATTCTTTTCTATGTAAAATGTTGGTCCTATAAAATATTAATAAACTTAAAATAGGTACCTACTGTTTATAAATTATTTCAAACTGAAACTGGCTTCTCATTCAACTTCTGGGGTTTCTCAGTTTAGCAGATATGAACACCTAAATCTTTCTTCTGTTTAAAATTCCAAAGAATTAAAGAGTACAGTCACTTTGGAAAACTGTTTGGCAGTGTCTTAAAAAAAAACAAAACAAATTTACATACAACCCAACAATTCCACTCCTAGGTATCTTAACCCAAGAGAAATGAAAACACAAAGTTCACAAAGACTTGTCTACAAATGTTCACAGCAACATTACTCATAACAGCCAAAAAGTGCAAACCACCTAATGTCTACCAACTGTCAAATGGGTAAACAAAATGAGGCATATCCATAAATGGGCTACAATTCAGCTACATAACTACGGATACTGCTACAATATGGATGATCCTCAAAAATACTCTGCTAAGAAAAGAATCCAGATGCAAAAGACTACATATGATTTGATTTATATGAAATATCCAGAAAAAGGCAAATCTATAGAGATAGAAAGATTAGTGCTTGTCTGGGATCGAGGGTGGGAAGAATAATTAATTGTAAATGGACACAAATGATTTTCCAGGATAATGTAATGGAAATGCTCCAAACTTGGTAATGTTGATCATTGCAAAACTCCCTATAATTACTAAAAAATTACTGAATAACACAAATAAAATGAGTGAACTTTACAGTAGGTAGATTACACCTCAATAAAACCTCTCTCTCTCTCTCTTTCTTTCTCTCTCTTACACACACACACACACACACACACACACACACACACACACACTCACACTGGTTTATTACCAGGGAATGAAGTCCAAAATCACAAATTCTCTAGCATGGCATGAAGGCCCTCTCCTCCAATGATCTTCATCCCCGCCCCCCTCCACACACACACAAGGCAGTAGTTTTTCCTCTTCCTCACAACATGCTGTTTCACACTTCTGTGGTTTTTTTACTCTTGAAAATGCACAGTCCCTTCTCTACCCAGGACACTCCACTCATCCTTCAAGACCCAAATCAGACTTCTCTGACATGTCTCTAAAGTGTCTCAGTCAAAAAGCGTTTCTTGTTCATTGTGTTCCCATAGGATCTTCTGTAATGTCTGTGTTTATCTTTTCTTATTTGTATTATAATCATTTGTTTTCAATGCCACCTTCACTGCATTGTGGGTTTGGGAGGGGGGCAGGAAAAGTATATACTAATAGCTACTACTTGTTTAACATTTTCTCTTTGGCATTTTTACTCATTTACATATTACTTCTAATCTCATTTTTGGCATTTTTACTCATTTACATATTACTTCTAATCCCACTACAATCCTGCAGGTGAGCTATTACTGTCTCCTCTCGTTGGGCTCAAAGAGGAGACACAACATATTTAGGATCACACTGCCAATATCAGGAAATTGAGATCAAATCCATATATGGTGAACTCCAAAAACTCACTAAACTGCTTCTGTTTTACAATACAGAGCCTACAGGAAGAGATACATCTATTTAATATATTGTAGTAGCAAAAGTTATGGGACCTGATTTTTAATACTTTATCACTGATCATGCAATGTTAGAAAAGTCACTTGACAATCTGAGCTTCAGTTTCCTTATCAGGAAAACAAGAGGGTTGGGCTAGATAATCTCCAACGTTCCTCCTGGTTCTAAAAATTCAGATTTTGGGTGATATCTCGCAACCACCCGGAACTCAAGATACAAGAAACCAGAGCAGACTGTCTGATGATAATCTAGAACCTTAACACAGGCCATATCTGGTGATGTTACCGTAGCACCGACTGTGGGCTGGTGCCTCCCAGCAGCATGAGTGCTTAAAGATTTCTGGAGCAGTCCTTGAGCAGTTGCTAAAGAGTAGGACAGGACTCCCAGCTCTCTCTGCCTGTGTGCCTTATGAGATAGTACCCAACACATTAACTTCCACACATTGCCTGGATGTCCATCTCTATCCCAGCACAGGCCACTCATATCACACCTAATAAGGACTACTACCTACCTGCATAGTGCTAGGCATCATTGCACCAGATGATCTGCAAGTATTCACAAGCACTGTCTCCTAACCAGCCTCTTCCCTACAACTTATTCAATACCTTGCCAGATTAAACTGTCCTGAAACTTATATCTAATTGAGTCATTCCTTTGCTTATAAGCTTCCCTCTCCTGCCAGCGTTCTATTTTTTATACAATAAAGTAAAAACCTAAAGTAAAAACCTGTACTTTGGCTTGTAAAAGCTTCTGTAGTCTGATCTCAACCTATCTTTCCAAATTCTTTTCTACTACTCTTCAAAAAATAAACTACCTCAGGGTTCTTACATTCAAGGGATATGTTTAATGTAAGTATAATTTTCATGTTAACATACCTTGAACATCATAAATCATCCTAAGATTTAGAACAGTTTCCTGATAGCACACAAACTGAACTCCGTTCATGCAATACAGTTATGTAACTCCTTGTGCTGGTCTCTGTCTAGAATGCTTTTTCCCATCATCTTCATACTTCAAAATCTTCAAATGAACTGGCATGTCTAGGGCCCAATGTGGTAGCTGACATATAAGTACTCATACATGTCTTTAGCTATTCGAAGCAGCCTTTGGTCTCCCTCTCTGTACTCACACCATCTTTTCTATATAACTTTCTTATATTGCTTATCCCTCTCGATTTTTGTTTTATAATTGTATAATGTGAATATCTTAGATTCTCAACCATCAAAAGCTCTTGGCAAAACTGGTATTTGGTCTTAGTCCTAGATGTACCCAGCACCAAGCACAAATTATAAATTATTGGTGCTCAATAAGCCTTTCCTTAATGCATGAAACACACACACACACACACACACACACACACCAAAGTAGGTGGAAACTGACATCTAAACTGGGATGGGCATGGAGTGGAGGAGCCACTACTATGTGCCAGGTCCTGTTGCTGAGCACAGTTAATCTCTTATTCTATTTAATCCTTTCAAAAACCCCACTAAGTAACTCCATTTTACTGATGAGGTGTCAGGGTTAGGAAAATTAAGACAGTGGGCTAAGATCACAAGATGAGTCTGTTGGGACCTCTTGAATGCTATATATGCCACTGGCCCTCCTCCTAACTTGTCACCCTCCAGAAGGTGGAGGATCTTTTAGAACCTCCCGCAACCCAGCCCCGCCCACCCGGCCGGCCCCGCCCACCCGGCCAGCCAGCCCCGCCCACCAGGCCAGCCAGCCCCGCCCACCAGGCCAGCCCTGTCCTGCAGTTTCCAGCTGAACTACTCCAGGCGCACGGCCCCGCCCTCTGCGTCGCGTGACGTCACCACGCCTGGCCGAGGTGGCGTGGCTACGTTCTTTAAATAAGGCCTTCCCCGGGTGTGTGCTGCAGTGTGTGCGGAGTGGGAACACGGCCACGAGGGCTGGAGCGGTTCGACCGCGAGGTGGGCGGAGAGGCTGCTTCCCGGGAGGCGCGGGGCGGAGGGCGCTGCCCGGGAGGCGCGCGCTCCAAGGACGGGCGGAGGGAACGTGGCGGCCCGCGCGGCAGGGCCGGGCCGGGGCGCTCGGCTCCAGTTCTGGCGCGGCCCAGGCCCGGCTCAGTCTCCCCCTGACCCACCCTCCTGAGACCTTGTTTCTCTCCGAGGCCCTTTAGTCCGCTTTCCCACAAACATTCATTTTGCCCCCATTGGCTCTCTCTCCCTGCCTCACGCTGGGTCCGGGAGTGAGAGGTGGGTTCAGTGGGAGCCGGTCAGGCCTGCCCGGTGCCCAGGGTCCGACTCCTCAGTTTTTAAGTTTCTCATCCACACCCTCTCGGTCCGCCTGGGGCGACGGGAGAGGCACCCAGCATGGAGTGGCCAAGCCCGACGTGCAGTCCTGGTGATTCCTCTAAGTGACCATGTGAAATGTCACCTGAGTTGCCTGGACCGCAGCCTCCTCAAAAATGAGGTTCTCTTGGAATGATTTTTGATATCCAGGCTTTTTTGTTTGTTTTTCCCTGCATTGTTTGCCAAATCGGACTCATAGCAGGGCATGACTGGGAAACCCGAAGCCAGAATTCTTTTGGCAATTAGGGGCTGAGGGAGCCCTAAGACATACAGCCCCATGCCATACAGTGATGCGGTCTGTAAGAAATGAGAACACCATTCTGTTTGGGCTCTGAGAGTGCCATTCTTGGAACAAGTTAACTGGGGAAGGACTGCATCGTCATTGCTGTTCTACTGCGAGAACCTTGCAAGCATTGGTCTGCTGCATTCTGTTTCAGGTGTCCTGTCAGTTTTAGGATAAGTGTTAGGAGCATGGGTTAACAGCTCCTGTTTCCAATGTTGACCTTTCATTTTTTCTTCAGGTGGTTCTGGAGAAATCCTGCCTCTGCTGGAGCCTGCTGGACCAGGCTGCAGAATTGTGAGCTCGACTGATACAGAAATCTAAGAATAAGAGCTCCATAATGGCCATGAGTGAACCGAGGCTGAATTGGTGAGTTACATCTGTTTGTAATCACCTAAAGAGAATGAACGTGGGACTTGTTACATTAGGAAAGGAGGGTTTTTGACCTGCAGAGCTTTGGAGAAAACAGAAAGAAAATAGAAGTTCAGTGGCTCAGAATTTATCCCATCCTCATTTGCACATACTGAGCACTTATGAGATATAGCTGACTGCACTTCCTCTCCTTAAGTGACAATTCAGCACTCAGATTGCTACCAAGTATAATTCCATCAGGTACTTATTGTTAGTACTTTCTGTGCTCTGTTAGTGAAGGAAAGATGCTGGAATTTTCTTGTGTCCAAGGACCTTGCCCACTGCTGTACAAGTAATAAAAATAAAAATAGAAACCCTTTTAGAATAGTCAAGCTTCTTTTTGTTATGTTGAAATCTGTATTAAGTGCTCATGTAAATGCATGGACTAATTTAGAAGTGTATGAGAAATTCACAAATTGAGGACTCAGGTAACATAAGTGGCTTTGCAGAGATCTAACTAATACTCGTGTGGCTTCAGGTTAATTTAGTGCACATTTTCTGAGCATCTGTAGTTTGCTAGCCAAAGAGAATATAAAAGTTATGTGAGATTATAAAGATAATTAAAATAGTACCTGATTAAAAAAAGATGCACTCAGTATGTACTCAATAAGTATTTATTTAATGCAAACAATGCTCCCTTCCCCCAAAGAGCTCATAGTAAATCCCTGAGCCCCATGACTTTGTTTTTGTATGATATACAAAAGCCTTAAAATGTAATCAAATGCCAAATATACAGTACCATAATCTATACTAATAAAAGGGCAATATGCTAATTAGACCAGACATCTTCTGGACATCCAGAAAAAGCCACAGTGTTGGCACTATCAGGCTGGCAGGGGAGGGCAGGAAGGGTTGATCAGGCATGCAGGGGAGTAGTTAAGGGGCAATCAGGCTGGCATGGGAGCAGTTCAGAGGAGATCAGGCTGGCAGGAGAACAGTTAGGAGGCGATCAGGCCAACAGGGGAATAGTTAAGGGGTGATCAAGCCGGCAGGCAGAGGTGGTTAGGGATGATCAGGCTAGCAGGGGAGCAGTTAGGGGCATCAGGAAAGCAGGTAGAAGTGATTAGGGGCGATCAGGGAGGCAGGCGAGAGGTTGGGAGCCAGCGGTCTTGGATTATGAAAGAGATATTCCAGATTGGAGAGAGTGCAGGCTAGACTGAGGGACGCCCCCTTCCCATGCATGAATTTCATGCACCAAGCCTCTAGTAAATCATAAGAACCACATTGGTGCATAGCAAGTAAGACATTCTAATTTTACCATTTATACTTGAATTTTTTTCTCTTTTATAAATGCCTTTAAAAATAGTAAGAAATTAGTATGGTGCAAATATGCTAGAATTTTTCATTTTGGAAATGGGCCAGCCAGAAGTTGCCATTTAATTAGAGATATACACCAAGCATGTCAAACTCACAGCCCATGGGCCATGGGCCTCCTGGGGTCCACAACGAATATTTTTGTGGACCAGCCAATATAACAGTAAGAAACGTTTTAATAAAAATTTCATACGTTAATTTTTACAATATTCTGTTATACATAATCTACCTAATAAAAGAGTAACATGCTAATTGACCATACCTTCGTGATGCTCACCAGCCAATCAGGAGTGAGTATGCAAATTAATTCAAAGATGGCATGTTAATTTGCATATACAGGTACCGAGCAGCTGGGGGCAGGATGGGAAACAGCATTCTGCACCACCTCAGCCGCTCTGGGCCTTTGGGCAGTGTGGGAAGGCAGAAAGGTGGCTCCGGCCAGAGCAAAGGCACTGACGGCAGCCAGGGAAAGGAAGGCCCATTCTTTTTTTTAAAAAATATCTATATTTTATTGATTTTTTTACAGAGAGAAAGAGAGAGGGATAGAGAGTTAGAAACATCGATGAGAGAGAAACATCGACCAGCTGCTTCCTGCACACCCCCTAACGGGGATGTGCCCACAACCAATGTACATGCCCTTGGCCAGAATCGAACCTGGGACCCTTCAGTCTGCAGACCGATGCTCTATCCACTGAGCCAAACAGGTTTCAGCAGGAAGGCCCATTCTTGCACGCATCTTCGTGCATCGAGCCTCTAATAATTAATAATGAACTACAATGTTCACTAATGACATTTTTACTATAATCATGTTGCATTCATTTCTTTTGCACACTGGCTCACCATTTCTCTCCACTAATACTAGCAGCGAATATTTTAGCAGCCGATTCCCATGTCATTAGTCTTGTACTGACTTGTTTGGTGTGGACAACAGGAAATATTTCACTTTTGGAGAACAAGAAAAAGGTTTATTTGCGTTACGCTTATTAATTTGAGCAGTTGTTCAGTATCTGATAAGTTAAGTTCAAGAAAAAAGTATTAATTTTTATTATTAAGATGATCTTTTATATTATGTTAATGATTACTCACTTATTTCAGACTTTTGTATTCAGTATGTCTCTATCGAAATAAACCTATGTTTCTATGAAAATAGAAGCTTTTTTTTTTTTTTTATAAATATATTTTATTGATTTTTTACAGAGAGGAAGGGATAGAGATAGAGAGCCAGAAATGTCAATGAGAGAGAAACATTGACCAGCTGCCTCTTGCACACCCCCTACTGGGGATGTGCCCACAACCAAGGTACATGCCCTTGACCGGAATCGAACCTAGGGACTCTTCAGTCCGCAGACCAACAACGCTCTACCACTGAGCCAAACCGGTTTCGGCAAAGTTTTTGTTTTAAACCTTGTTTATTTGGCCTGTGTTAGCCTTTGAGTTTGACATGCTTGGTATACGTGTTTATGCTCCTTGCCATAAAGTGTATGTTCAGAAGCAGCACGGATGCTCTTACACTGTTCCATTAACATTGTGAAACCCAATATGACTTAGAGCCTTTGCACAGTATTGAAGCCCTTGAACTATCCTTGACCACAGAATCCTACTTATCTTTGTCCTCCCAGGTTAATGTTTCTCAGTGTTTCTAGTTTTTAATTCCTTCGTTCAATCAGCATTTATTGGATGTTTACTATGTGGAAAGCATTGATTATAATATATTAGTCTCTAAATTATTTATGATATGGAAAATCACATATGACCTTAGAAGTGGTTTTAGTACAGACGCAACATTTATCACATTTGCCATGTTAATGAAAATGTGAGGATATGCTGTCTTTTTATTGTTTTGTGGCCTGACATAACAGTGCATGAAAACAAAAATAGAGAAGCATTTTCTGTCAGTAACCAAATAAAATGGTATGCCCAGAGCCAGAGGTGAGTGCTGCCTCTGACAGACCTTTTATTGTACTTATAATCTGTTCTATTTTTAACTCTCTAGTTATTTCTGACATTTATTTAATTGGATACTAAAGGAAAAGCAAGGCAGGTTGTTGCAGCTGGAGAATTTCAGAATAGGCTTAGGGTAAAGCTATCTAAGAAGGAAAACATCTGAACTCATACATCTGGTACATGAAATTAAAATTATGAAGAGATGACTGTCTAGGAAAGGGGGTGTAGAAGGCATGTAGTTATAAATTATAATTGTACCCTTATGCTGCTTACTCTACCTTGAGATTTTGAATTGTCAAATAAAATTACTTTGCTTCACAGGGATGTTGCCTCAAAAAATGGCCTTAAGACATTTTTCTCTCGAGAAAATTATAGAGATCATTCCATGGCTCCAAGTTTGAAAGAACTATGTAATTTATCTAACAGGTAATAAGTTTATTTATTTGGTTACCTATTTCTATATTTGGTTGTTATTTTTCTGATATTTGAAGTTTTATATCTGTCTGTATCCACTACTAAACATTCAGTTGCAGAAATGTAAAAATTAGAAAACAGAAGAACTATTCCAGTGACCACTCTTTAGTATATATTGTTTCAGTCCTTTCCCCATCCATGAACAGATATATATATATATATGGTCATATTATAAATACTATATAAAACCATAAATACTATAAAACTGTTTTTTATCTTTTTTTATTTAAAATAATATTTCCTGTATCTTTCTAAGCCTCTGCATATGTAGCTCAATCTTCTTGATGGTTGTATATTATCCTACGCAACAAAGAAGCAATATGCAGATTTACCATCATAAAGATGGTGGCACCAAATTCCCTCAGTCCCGCCTGAGTCCCATAGCCCTTTCATCCCAGCCAGGGGTGGGGGTGCGGGGAGCAGGCGGCAGGCGCACTATGCGTCCAGACCCGTCCTGAGCCCTCCAGCTGCCCAGGGCCGGCCTGAGGTGCAGGCAAGCCTTGGATGGTGGCTGTCCAGTTGCCCAGGGCCACCTGAGGCTTTCAGGGAGATAACCAGAGCCAGCTGAGGCTCAGGTAACCAGGGCCTGCCAAGGTTTGTGCTGCCGCAGTGGCAGCAGCAGAGGTGGGATGGGATCATCACCTTCCCCTGATCACCGGGTTGCCTCCTGCCCCTGAGGGTGCCCAGACTGTGAGAGAGGGCAGGCCAGGCTGAGGGATGCCCCTCCAGTGCATGAGTTTTCATGCACCAGGCTTCTAGTATATTATATACAGTAAGTGTACTTTTTAATTCTTTTAGCTGGTTTTATATTGCAAAATGTATTTATTCCTCTTTTTTTGAAGTTATAAGGACTACATTGATGAACTTTTTGTAATTATTTTTGAGATAAATTCATATAAATGTCATTGTTTGGCCAAAGGGTATATACATTTTATATTTTAATAGATGCTGCCAAAATGCCAAAGATTTTTTTTTTTTTCACTCTCTGGTATGAAATGCCCATTAAGTGATAATTTTCCCTTCTCATTGCATACCTACCTCTAACAACTCTTCTTTCCTTTGTGATCAGTTGTTTCTAATATTTGCGGATGGATTCTCAAAACAAAAACAAATAATCAGGTTTACTAGAAAGGAGTACATTTGCCAAAGAAGGAATTAGGAAGCTCCTCATGTACTTTCACCCTTTGACCATGACTTTTGCAGCAAAGGAAATATTATTTCCAGCCTCTGCATCCAGTGGAACCCCATCTTTCCCTGCCTTCTCGGTACCCTTTCTATCAGTTAGCATCCCCTCTTACTTCTATAATATGTCTTTGTTCTCTCTTGTCAGTGTAGGCCTGCCTCATTTTATTGAGCCTCACAGATGTGTGTTTTTACAAATTGAAGGTGAGACCAATATCTGCAAAAAAGTTACAAATCACTTTATTTCAAAATTTGGTTTATTGTGGTCTGAATGCAGCCCACAGTAATTTGCAAGGTTTTCCTGTATTTCAAAGTGCTCAAGTTTATCTGTCTCTAATCTCTGGACTCCAGATTTCCTTCTAGTTACTTTTTTTTATTTACTTGCTCATTTATACTTAGACTCCTTTAAAGACTTGTATATGCTTGGCAATATACAAGGAGGGAAGAGGACAAAAATACTACTGTATAACACATGCAGAAAACAACAGACAAAGCAATAGTAAGTCCTTCCCTATCAATAATTACTTTAAGTGAATTAAAATCTCCAATCAAGAGACATATTGGGAGAATGGATTTTAAAAACAGTATAAAAAAAACTCCTTCACTACATAGCTCACTGGACTTGCTTTCACTGAACATCCCACTTAATCTGGTTTTACCCTCTCTAGTCTACTAAGACTGCTCCTCCCAAGATCTAGGAGCTATTGACTACAGAGATAGCTTAGATTTCTGGTGACTGTGGTATTTCTCAGTCTCTTTTGCCATCTTCATTGTCAGGCTTATCATGCTGGCTCATCAGATTGTGGAGCTTTTAAAGACTGATTTTGCATTCTCAACCCATTTGAACCTTTGAGGATGTGTCTGTGGAATCAGTTAACACTGTTGATATTCATTTAGGTCATCTTTATATCTTTACTATATAGCAAACAGTGAGTATCCTTTTTATACATATGCTGATATAAGAACTAGGATAAATTTCTGTAAGATGTGAGTATGCATGTGTTTTTTATTTTTATAGATATTTGCCAGATTGCTATTAAAAGCATTAAAGAAACAAGAACTTTTTTATTCCATCAAATTAATACATAGGTTCACGTTAAAAACAAGCAAAAGTTATATTAAAGAGATAGTTGAAAAGTAAATATTTTTAAAACGGCAATTTCAGAAGCAGTATTCTTCTTTCCAAACTGCATAATTATATATTCCTTAATATCAGCTATAGACAGGTAAGACAATAGATCCCTTATGAATGTGCATCTGTGGCTATATTTTTAAAGTTATTTCTGTTACTCAATTGTACCATTTTTTAGGTATAACTAATTTTTTAAAATTTATCTTTATTGTTGAAACTATTACAGATATTCTCCTTTTTCCCCCCATTGGCCACTTCCTCCCACTCTTAAAGCTTATTAATTAAAGAAAGAATTGTCTTTGTTTATTTGAATAAAATAATACCTACCAATTCTAGTACTCTGTTCAGCAAATATATATCTTTATCTTAAAATAAAAAACTAACCATTTCAAGAACTTTTATGTCTGCCTTCCTTTTATCAGACTAAAAATTTATAATATTAATCTTCTTTAATCTGTCACTGCTTCTTCATTATTTTCATGGTTCTATACGAGTCTACTTCTGTTCATCATATCCCAAGTATGGATTATAATCTGGATTATGTAAGGGAGAGGACATTTTGCTGGCAGTTGGGTTCACCTAACTCCTAAAATTTATTTTTCCTGGAGTATGCTTGTGTTTCTTTAGATTTCTATATAGCACAAAATAATTTATAATTTACCTTTTAATATAGAAAAAATAAAGACCAAGGCATTGATTTCATTTGTTTCTAGTCTTTTTGTTTAACCTTGGTTTTTATTAAGTTTAACAGTAGGGAATGGATTTTCACACTGTACAACTGTTTTCTTCATGGAAAACTAGGAAGAATATACCTTTTTTGTTAGCCTTAATTTTTGTATTTCTTTTGTGTTTTCTAACATTTGGGAAAATATTAACTCTAACTGTACTACTTTTAACAATGTGAAGTTTTCATTCAACCCTTCATTAAAAGGTAAACATTTGCCTTTTTTCCAAATTAAAGTGTCTGGTTGTAGATATTTATAACTGAGTTTCCAACAAAGAGGAAAGTAGCTGTAAACAGAAAAATAATTATCAAATTTCAACATTTTTAATATAGAAAAGTTAATCAAATTTAAGAGGTACAGGTAGACTTCAGATGGAGGTTACAAGCACCATTTCCAAATGCTACTGAAAGAAGCTGCCCGAGTCAGTAGATTTAAAAATTAAGAAACTTGAAGTTTGAATTCTGCCTTTTTTCCATAGAAACTTTAAGTAAAAAAGAAGAATTGGTAGTAGACAAAATGAAGTGTGAAAACTTCAAACCATCAACTGAAATAAAATATAATGCTGTAAATGTGGTTAGAGAAACCCTGTCAGATGCTTTTGGCTTGCACCCTGATGAAGATTTTGACAGCACTGCACATGGAAATGATCTTGATGTGCTGCCATTTCATTCTTTGCTGAATGTAGCCAATTTAAACTGCTAGAATTTCTTGACATTCCTACTCTGGCATATCTGAGTCAGCATCTTGTTGGCGGCAGCAGCTTAATTAAATTTGCCAGTTTGTGCCACAAGGACAGACATGTTCTCATATTCAGAGAGACAGCTGTGAAGCAGTATTGTTAAAAGTTGCGGACACAATACTGTTAGGTTTGAATAGCTCTCAAGACATTTTCTAGTGAGAAATCAATTTGCTGTGATACATTTCTCCCAAGATCAGCAGTTAATATTCATTTTGTTAACCAAAAATGTGCTTATTTTTTTACAGTTATTGGGGAAACTTTAGTCGCCAAGTATGTCTTTTTAACTTGTATTGTTTTCAGAGCCAATCTAATAATCCTTATTTTAATTTGCATAATTATTTTCCCACCCATTAATAACTTCTCTCGATTAGTTTTCCATCTATTGTTTATCTCTAAAAGAGCGGTCTTAAATATTTCTGCTTTATTATAGAACCCAAAGTCATTTTCTAAAAATTCTGGAATTTTTACCATATATATTCTGGTATTATAAAGTTGATTTAAAACAAATCAGTGTTAGGTTTAGATGGAACTTAACTCTCCCTTTGTCCAGATACAGATCAAGTTTGGTAATTCTCAACCTTAATCAGGCCAAAAGCCTCCCATTTTTCATAACAAATATTTATAAGAAATAAGATACCTACTTGACTAGCCTGAATTGAAATTCATAGATAATAATAGCCACAGACATAATACTTAGAAATAATGAACTAGATATATAAATGTGAAATAGAAGAAAAATAATTTATATTCTAATATGTATTTAAAAATATAAATGCCTCATTTCTACTGCACTAAAAGATATAATGAAGTAGTCAGAGGCACCAGCTAAAATGAATAAGGTTGGATTTAAGAGAAGAAAGATAAACTATACCATAAAGCAGTGATTTTCAATTGGTGTGCCACAAGAATTTTTAAAACATTCAATACCTGGCTATTTAGTCAGGGTTACTGACCTTATTTCCCTTAGATTGTCAGGTAAAAAAAAAATGACAACAGCCAACACAACAAGGGCTCACTGGTGTGAATAAATTAAAATAATACCCTTTTTTTTTTTTTTTTTTGTTCAGGTCAGCAAACGAAACTTTTTTTTTTTAGTGCTTCATTTGGGTGCCATGAGATGAAATAGGTTGACAATCATTGCCATAAAGGAATAATAAGAAATTCAAACGGAATAAAATGTATTGTTAGTAACAGACCAGTCTTATTTGTGTATGATAACAGCCTGAAGAAACCTTTGAAAATTGTGCATGATAGTACTATGTGTTAGAGGCAGGTAGTATCCCTCACTTTTAAATGCTTTTAATTCTTTCCCACTTTTTTTAAAAACCCAGATACATCCACAGGCTTCCAAAATGCCCTCAGAGAATTAATACTGTCACAATTGAAAACCTCTGCTCTGGATAGTTCTTGTCCCTCTCCCTCTTAATCTCTGATTTGGATGTCTTTATGATTTTTTTCAGTCACCTATTCAGTGTGTTCAGTTTGGAAACTTGAGATCTCCATAATCACATTGTATTGATATACATATTTACTTTTCCTTTCCCCCCATTCAGTTGTCTGATATACTTGAGTGTAACATCCTAGAGAGTAGAGATTGTATCATGTTCGATGTTGGTTGCATCTCCACTACCTGACATAGGACTGGCAAATGGTAGTCACTCAGTAAGTTTAATTAATGGAGGAATGAAGACTGAATTAATAGACATCCATCTTTTTCATTACTTTTCCTTCCTTTTGTATTAACTTTGTTTAATTTGGAACTAATTCACAGGGAATAGTTACTGTCTTAGAAATTAGAGTTGTTGAAGCTAAGGAAATATAGTGTGTGTGTGTGTGTGTGTGTGTGTGTGTGTGTGTGTATGTGTGTATGTGTGTATAAAGATTACAACAATCAAATATCAGGGAAAGAACTTCCAAATTGAATAATTTGTCTAAGGATTATGCCTCTTCCTCTCCATCAGATAAATGAAGGTAAGGTTATAATTCGATTCTATCCTACTTATTTTACACCAAATAGCTAAACATCAAAGTGCAGGTGGCAAAGTAAGATAATAATTCAGAATTTACTGTGTTAATCACGCTATATTCTCCCTGGTGATTAAGAATCATGAGGTCTCATGATAGTACTCTTGATATGAAAAGCCCATATTTGTAAATGTTTGTGTGTATTTTTCCAGACGTATAGGAGAAAATTTGAATGCTTCAGCAAGTTCTGTAGAAAATGAGCCGGCGGTTAGTTCAGCAACTCAAGCAAAGGAAAATGTTAAAACCACAGTTGGAATGGTTCTTCTTCCAAAACCAAGAGTTCCTTATCCACGTTTCTCTCGTTTCACACAGAGAGAGCAGAGGAGTTATGTGGACTTGTTGGTTAAATATTCAAAACTTTCTGCTAATTCCAAAGCTATTGGAATAAATAAAAATGACTACTTGCAGTACTTGGTATGTATTCTATTCTTCAGCTTCAGTAAAAAAAAATATTTAAAAGTTAGGAAATACTTTAAATTTGCTTTTGTGTTTTAGGTGCAACCATATTTTAAACAATGGGAAGTTTAAGGAGATAATTGATGGACAAATTGGTGCTTTTATTCTTTTGTTGGTTTTGGTATAGTTCAGGCATTTTGCTCTAGTTCTCAGCATATTTTACTCCAGTTCATCTTAAGTACTAGAATTAGAGCTTGCATAGGTCATTGAACAAATTTAAAATTTTCATTTATTTAAGTAGCTTCCAAAGTCATATAAATGATGCTGTACTGAACATCATTGTTGCAAACTCTTTTGTTTATACTTATGATTGTTTCCTTAAGATAATATTTTAAAAATGAAACTGCCAGTCCTAGTTGGGTAGGGTCAGTAGGTTAGAGCCGCACTGGTCCCTGACGTCCAAAAGGTTGGTGACTGCTGGTTTAAGGAAACCTTTGGACAGCGATCACCAACTGGTGGTTCGTGGACCACTGGTGGCCCATGAGGTCTGAAAGGTTGGTGACCACTGGATTAGAGTGTTGTCTGATATGCCAAGGTATGGATTCTGTCTCCAGAACAACCAATGACTGCATAAATAAATGGAACAACAAACTAATGTCTCTCTTTCTCTTTCCCTTCCTCCCTTCTTTTCTCTCTCTCTAAAACCAATCAATCAATGAAAATAATAAAAAAGAATAAAATTGCCATATCAAAAACTATACATGTTTCTAAGGCTTTGATATGCAATTACCTACGGATAAATTGTTCTGCAAAAACTATAAGCCAATTTTTTTATATCACTATTGTGTGGAAGAATTTTTTTTTGTTTTCAATATCTTTGCTGATACTGAACATTACCTTTCCCCCTCTAATTTGACATGGGAGAAATGGTGATCCCTTATTTTACATTAAATTACAATGATTACTGATAAAAATAAGAATTTTCTATGTGTTATTAAGCCATTTCTGTTTCTTCTTTTGTACAATTCATTTTGTTTGCTAATTTTTCTATTTGGTTGTTAGTTCTATTTTTGTTAAGAACATTTTATAAGATAAACTTTCTAATTCCAAAGCATGTATTATAGTATTATTAATTTGCTTTCTTGGTTTTGAGGAGTTTTTAATAACAAGTGTATCATTATTATATAATTTTCATTAACTTTCTCTGTGATTTTTGCTTTAGATATAATACTTTTAATTATTCTTTAAGTCAAAATAACTATAGCAATGATTGAAAAGTGATTCTTTTTATTCCACAACTTGTCTACTTTTTTAAAAATTAGGATATGAAAAACCACATAAATGAAGAAGTTACTGAATTCCTAAAGTTTTTGCAAAATTCTGCAAAGAAATGTGCACAAGATTATAATATGCTTTCTGATGAAGCACGTCTCTTCACAGAGGTAAAAAACAAATTCATTTAAACTGCCAAGTAATATTCAATAGCAGCATTTTTAAATGTGTGATGATCCTGTCAAATGAATATGGAAATATCAGTATTATCAATTTAGAGACCAAATTGTAGGTAGGGTTTTTACTAGTATAATCACATATTTAAATAATATAAATGCTGTGCCTCAGCATCATGTACTATATTATATTATTTTTTTTCTTTTACTGAGTTAATACTGTGCTGTATTTGAGAGTTATATTTTACTCACATGGATGGTTTGATCTGATGCACTGATTTCCCTTGTGAGAGAATATGTGTTCAAGGAGTTAACAGTCATTAAAAATCTGAATGGTCCTTTAAAACTTAGTCACATAAATTTGCATTTATTGTCTTCATGATAACCAATAACCAAATGATAAATTTCAACCGTGAGTTCATTTTATTATATATAAATCATCCATGCAGATTTATTAGCAATGTGCCTCGCACCCCATCCTCATTCAGTGAGCCTGGCGTAAATTTAGAGTAACCTACTTAAATAGTTACTAGTAATATATACGGTTGACCTTTGAATAACATAGGGGGTAGGCTTGCTAACACCCCACACTGTTGAAAATTCGTGTATAACTTTTAACTCCCAAAAAACTTAACTACTAATAGCCTCTATTGACTAGTAGCCTTACCAAAACATAAATAGTTGATTAACACATATTTTGTATGTTACATGTATCATAATGAATTCTTATAACAAGGTAAACTAGAGAAAACTATGTTATTAAAGAAATCATAAGTAAGAAAATACATTTACAGTGTTTATTGAAAAAAATCTGCATATAATTGAACCTGTGCAGTGCAACACCATGTTGTTCAATGGTCAACTGTATTAATATCCCTTCATTTCACTGGTTTAAAATGTCTTATCTCAGAAAGAGTCTACAAAGAACACACTCCCACCCCCAGACTGCTTCATCTACGTACATTACTCCCAGTTGTTCCACATCAGCCTACTGGCCTCTTAAATAGTCCTGGAAGCCTTTGGCTGTTCCCATCTTTCTGGCAAGCCATTCCCCAGCTATTCTGCATGGATTAGTTTCTTGATTCCTTTAAGTCTCTCTCTGTTCAGATACCAACTATCAATGAGGATGTTCCTAATTACCCTCCAAAAAATAGCATCACCTTTAGGATTTCCTTTCCCAGATTTTATTTTTTATTGTCTTTTTTACAATGCCTATAAGTAAGTACTCTTTTGTAGCTGCTGAGTTCAGAATAATGCCTGGCATGCAACAAGTACTCAAGTGTTCAATGTAATTATTAGTGAATATCGATATAAAAATGTTTGTTGACAGACTATACTATTTGGTAGCTAACAATCAGCATTATTTCTTGCTTTTTTAGTCAGATTGTCTTGGCAGCACATTTTCTCTGATTTATATTTTATGTCTCTACCCCCAAAGATTCACTGATATCTATAAAAATTGTTTTTTGTTTTAAAATTTTAATATTATGAAATGTAATATACATGTGGAAAAGTATATAGAACAAATGTATACAACCTAACAAAGAATTATATGGACACTGTAATTCTGTTTCAAGTCAAGAAACATGAATGTGAGAGAAACACATTGATTGGTTGCCTCCCACATGAGCCCAGACCAGGACCAGGGATTAAACCTGCAATCCAGATATATGCCCTTGACCAGAAATTGAACCAGCCCACACTCTAACCATTGAGACACATTTTTTAAAATATTGGAATTAAACATATTTAGTGGGTTCTAGTCCCTACAAGTAAGATTTTTTTGCAAATTCAAATAATACCAACTTTGGCCATTTGACAGGTTCTGCATATTGTCTCCAATCCTTTTGAGTCACTCTAATAGACTTTGAGGTTCATTTCATACATTTTCTCTCCAGCTATAGAGTCAGCCATTTTTCCAGAGCCCTTGTTTTTTGTTTTGTTTTGTTTTTTAGTGGGAATGGTATTTAAGGACTATAGTCTGGGCACTGAAGATGCTCATTGCTCCTGGGTGAATAGATCTAGGAGAAACATATTTAAAGAAAAAAAAATAACATGTGTTCATTTGCTGTACCCAGAATACACCCACAGCAGCCTTAGATTAACAATACTAATACTACCAATTCATTGGATTACTGAAAACAGTTTGAAAAAACTTTTTTATATCTTCTCTCCTCTACTTTTTAAAAATTTTTTTTATTGTTTAAAGTATTACATATAGTAGTACCTTTATAACCTTCTTTTTTCCCCATTGACCTTCCCCCAGTCTTCCCTACCCCTGTCACATGTCCTTATCCCACGCCCCCAGTGTCTTGTGTTCATTGATTGTGCTTATATGCATGCATACATAAGTTCTTCTGTTGATCTCTTTTCCCCATTCCCTAACTGTAGCCAATATTCCTGCTGTAATTTGATAGTCTGTTCAGTGCTTTACTGCCTCTGTATTTATCTTTTCATTCATCAGGTTATAATGTTCTTTATTTTCCATAAATGAGTGAAATCATGTGGTATTTTTCTTTAATTGCCTGGCTTATTTCACTTAACATAATGCTCTCCGGTTCCATCCATGCTGATGCAAATGGTAAGAATTCCTTTTTTTTTTTTATAGCAGCATGATATTCCATTGTGTAGCTGTATCATACTTTTCTAATCTAATCATCTGCTGATGGACACTAAGGCTGTTTCCAAATCTTAGCTAAGGTGAATTGTGCTGCTATGAACATAGGGGTGTATATATCCTTTCTGATTGGTGTTTCTAGTTTCTTGGGATATTTTCCTAAAAGTGGATTACTGGGTCAAATGGGAGTTTCATTTTTAGTTTTTTTTAGGAAACTCCATACTGTTTTCCACAGTGGCTGCACTGGCCTGCATTCCCACCAGCAGTGAACAAAGGTTCCTTTTTCTCCACATCCTCACAAACACCTGTCGTTTGTTGATTTGTTTATGATAGCCTTCTGACAGGTGTGAGATGGTACTGAACTGTTGTTTTGATTTCCATCTCTTGGATAATTAGTGCATTTGAGCATGTTTTTATATGTCTCTTGGCCTTCTTTCTGTCTTCGTTCAAAAAGATTTTATTTAGGTCCATTGCCATATTTTTATTGGGTCATTTATCTTCCTTTTAATAAGTTGTGTGAGTTCCCTGTAGATGTTGGAGATTAAACCTTTATCAGTGATAATATTTGCAAATATGTTCTCCCTTACGGTGAACTTTCTTGTAGTTTTGTTGATGGTTTCTTTTGCTGTGCAAAAGCTTTTTATTTTGATGTAGTCCCATTTGTTTATTTTCTCTTTAGCTTCCATTGCCCTAGGAGTGGTATCTGTGAGGAAATTGCTTTGGCATATGTCTGAAATTTCTCTGCCGGTGGATTCCTCTAGTATTTTTTTGGTTTCTCGTCTTATATTTAAGTCCTGTATCCATTTTGAGTTTATTTTTGTGTATGGTGTAAGTTGGTGATCTAGTTTCAGTTTTTTGCATCTATCTGTCCAATTTTCCTAACACCATTTATTGAAGAGACTGTCTTGACTCCATTGTATGTTTATGCCTCCTTTGTCAAATATTAATTGAGCAGAATGGTTTGGGTCGATATCTGGGTTCTCTATTCCATTGGTCTCTATGTCTGTTCTTGTGCCAGTACCAGGCTGTTTTGAGAACACTGGCTTTGTAATACAGTTTGAAATCTGGTATTGAGATTCCACCTATTTTGTTCTTCTTTCTCAGGCTTGCTGTGGCTATTTGGGGTCTTTTTTAATTCCACTGCAGTCTCTGAGAGTATCCCCAATTGGGTGATCTTATGTGCCGGGCTTAGTAATCAAAAGCAAAGATTTAAATAGAAATAGAGCCAGAGTAAATGTGTGAACTTATGACTTTTACCCTCTGGCACTGCAACCAATTCTGTGAACATTTCTGGCACTAAGCAGCCAGCACATTGTTAAAATTTCCGGCTGCCTTTTTGCACTCAGTCTAGCTAAGGGTTGCTTTTGAGAGTTCCCTTCTGCTATTCAGCCCTTCCACATTCTCGGATCACACACTAGCCCCAAAGCTGCGGATTTTATGGGGCACCAACTTCTCCAACCTCTAGCTCCCATTGTGTGCATTTTTCTCTCCAGCCTGGATCACAGACCTCACCTTTTTCTAAGCGAAATCTGACCTTTTCATGAGAAGGTGCAGAGCTCCTCTGAGTCCGGCATTCGTGCTGTTTGAGATCCGGTTTTCCTGGGTTCACAGTTGTTCCCTGGGTGGTGGTGGTGTACATTCTGGGATGTATAGGCTTCCAATAACAACCACTCTCCCCATCAAGTTGGCACAGTTTACGCTTCAGATTTCAGCAGCAGTGAGGGTGCCCGGTCAGGGGAACCCAGTCAGGCAATCCCCCACAGTCCCTTGGAATATAGCTGTCTCTCACCCACAGATGTACACTCCTCATGTGACCACACACTCTCCTTTCGTTCTCTCACTCACACACTATTTTGAAGTCTGCCTTCCAGTGGGCAGCCATCTTCCAATGATCTCCTTTTTTAAAACCTAGTAACTATATTACTATTTTACATATTGTTTTATTTATCTAAAAATATTACTTTTTTGGTATTTTCGTTTATTATTTCTCTAATCTACACTCTGAGATCCTCTTCATTATTCCTGAAATACTGTATGTTCTACTTCTTTCTTTGAGGAAGGTCTTTTGATGATAATCCTTATTTTAATCTGAAAGTATTTTTATTTTGCTCTCATTCTAGTAAGATAGTTTTATTCTATAATTTTAAGTTGACAGTTCGTTACTAAACATTTGAAAATAAAATTTTACTTTTTTTAGTTTATGTTATTGCTGTTGGAAAGTGTTATCTGTTTGAAGTCATTCTTTTAAGGAATATGTCTTTTCTTCCTGGCCATTCTTTATTTTTGGTGTTTTACAGTTTCATTGCAAATTTTTTTTGTCTTCTTTATTTTATTTTCCATCACCATTATGGCCCCCATTCCCTCTTCCATCTCCATTCTCCCCTCTGCCTCCCTCCCCAAGTTACCAAACTTGTTCAAGTTCATGAGTTCTTTTTCTTTGTGTGCATGTGTGTGTGTGTTGTTGTTGTTGTTGTTGTTGTTTTTGCTCAGTCCGTCCTCCCTCCCACTAGAACTGTGCTTGCTCTCTATCTATAATGTAGTGTGCTTTTTCCAAAATCCTACTTGGATCATTGTTTTTATTTTATATGAAAATTTATATCCTTCTTAAGTGTTGGAAAATTCCCAGCCATTTTCAATTATTGCTTCTCCTTCATTTTCTCAACTTTGTCTTTCTGAGATTCCCACTTGTAAGCTAGACCTCAGTCTCTCTTTAGTTCCTATTTATTTTTTCTGTTGTGATAAAATATACATAACAAATTTATCATTTTGATCATTTTTAAGGACAGTTAAATAGCATTAAATATATTCACACTGTTATGAGTATATTTCTATCCTCTATCTTCAGAACTAACTTTCTTCCCAAACTGAAACTCTGTACTCATAAAGTCATTCAGTTCCTACTTTTAGTCTTTGAATTTGTCTACTTCAAGTGCTCCCATATGAATGGAAATATATATAATAGTATTTCTTTTTGTGACTGGTTTATTTTAATTAGCATAATGTCTATAAGAATCATATGTCTTGTAACATGTATCTGAATTTCCTTCATTCTTAAGATTGAATAAATATTCCATTATATGTGTATGAGCAACTTACTTATCCATTCACCCATTGATAGACACTTTGGTCATTTCTACCTTTTGGGTCTTGTAAATAATGCTAATGTGAACATGGATGCATCTGTTTTTCAAGGATTAAATTTACTAGGCTCATGTTCAGCTCCCTACCTAATCTTAGAACTTGTTGACACAATTGCCCTCAAGCAACCTAACCTTTCATGAGTTTCCTAACTTCTCACTGCTCCTGTGTATCTTCATTCTAGGTGTTTGGGTTTTATTTATTTGCTTATTTGTTTATTTATTTATTTATTTATTTATTTATGGTCCTTGGAGATTCTCCTTGCTTTTTTATCAATCCCAGCAATACATACAACTTCTTGGTTGTAATTTATCCAGGACAATATTATTTAGATAGGAGTGCTCTTCAGAGTATCTACTCAACCATACTGCCAAAAGTAGTATCTATTAAATTTTTAAATTTCAAATATATAGGATACCTAGATAGAATGGATACTGCTCAGCCATAAAAAGTGATGAAATGCAACAACATGGATGGATTTTGACAGTATCAGGTTAAGTGAAATAAGCTAGATGGAAAAGGATGAGACCCATATGATTTCACTCACATGTGGAATATAGAACAGAAAGCAACAAATAAACTCGTACACACAGGCGCAACATTCTAGTGGTTACTAGAGGGTAAGGGCAGGATGGAGAAGAAATAATGGGGTCAGGTATATGGTAATAGAAGTAGACTAGATTCTGGGTGATGAGCACACAGTGCAATATACAGACATTGTATTTATAGAATTGTATACCTGAAACTTACATTATTAACCAATGTTATCCCAATGAATTTAATTAAAAAACATGTATGATATCATTATTTTTTGGTCCAAAATAAAATTTAGGGAGATGGTCATTTTCACCTTTCTTGGTAATGGTAAATCTGAGTTGTGTGCATAGATGTGTTTTTGATGTATTTAACTTTCAGGTTATTTATTTCTAATTATTCACATAACTGCTTCTATTTAGTAAAGTGTGTTGCCAACCTGTGAAATGGGAGATTATGGTTCGATTCCTGGTCAGGGCACATGACTTGTTGAAGGCTCAATTCCTCATGTGGGGCAAGTAGGAAGCTGCCCTGATCAATGATTCTCTCTCATCATTGATGTTTCTGTCCCCTTTCCCTTCCTCTCGAAATCAATAAAAATATATTTTAAAAAATAATAACATTCAGTGAGTGAATTATGGGAAACAACCCGAGTCTCTTAATCTTCTTCATTCACTCTTAGCTGTTTTTAAAGACAAATTATTAGTCAAAAAACCTTTTTAGTTAAATAGTGTTTCTTTAGTTGCTTAATGCATACCAGTTATGAAATACCTTTAATAATATATAATGTATGAAGTATAGGAATAAAAAAACTGTCTTAGATTTTCCTTTGACTCTTTCTCTTATCATAATTACTGAATTTAGGGCAACTCAGGTAAAAGCACTATGGCATCCAGAAGTTTTACCATGAAAACATGCTAATAAACATCTAGCCAGAATAGTCTCTATATCATGTAGTGATTACATATTGCTTTCCTTTGCATGTTCAAATCCTTGCAAATACTGCCATAGGACAGGAACTTTAGGGAGAAGGGGGGTATGTAACTAATTAGTGAAAGTTAACTAATATTATAAATGAAGAACAAAATCTTATGCTGATCTGAGTTTGCAGTTGACTAAGATTTTTAAAAACAAAAACAGAACTTTTCCATGTTAATCTACATCAGCCTTAGTTGCAAGTAATATTCTGAATTAAATATTAAGGCCAGTATTGAAAAGCAGGAATGCGGGGGAAGGAATGTGAAAGATAGCTGGGAGCGAAGAATAAGAGAGGAAGAAGGGAATATGAAACTACAGATGAAAAGATATACTAAAGCAAAGTTATTGATTTGTAGCTTCACATATTTTATGAATGAAGGGAAAAGAGATACACAGGTAGTATAAAGAAAAACTTATTGCTAAGAGCTTTTGTGATATAAAGTATATAAGTCAGATTAGGCTAATTGACAAGAAGAAAAAATACTTAGAAGATGATACTTTGTATTTATAAAATTATAATCCCCCACCACAACCCAAAACTGCTGTGTTCCTTTGAGTTATCTGCATGTTATTACAAGTGACATATATTCTGCTTGGATAAAGCTGTGAGTTTTATTTCCTCCCTGATTACATTTCCTGATAAGTTATTAATATTTTAAAAACAGTTTGAAGAGGAAAAAATACTCCATATTTGAATTAGTTACAACATATCTCATTTATTTTTTAAGAGTACAGATTAGAATGACATGTAAGACAACTACTTCATTAATTCCTGTGCTTGGGAATCTTTTAAGGATATTAAACTTATTTCTGATTATTCATAAAACTGCTTCTATTGCAGTAAAGTGTGTTGACATTTTCATATGGCTTTATTTCCTTGACAGTTTCTTAAATAGTATAGAAAATATATCATCTCTATTTCATTTTAAAACTTAATAGAATTGCTCATTTTAATATCAAATATTAACATTTTAAGATATTAGGTTTAAAAGAATTCTGAAAAATTGAGATTACATTAAACAAGGAATATACAATATGCTCGGATGGTTAGAAGTTTGAGTAATGAAATGAGGCTAGATTGTCAATGAATAATTATATAATCATATGTAATTAACTTATTTTTGTTGGATTATTAGAGAAGTATTTAACAAATGAATTTATTTTGGTTTTTATTTTCTAGCAAGTTTTAAAAGCTTGTATTGACCAAGTGAAAAAGTATCCAGAATTCTATACTCTTCATGAAGTCACCAGCTTAATGGGATTCTTCCCATTCAGAACAGAGATGGGATTAAAGTTAGAAAAGACTCTTCTTGCACTGGTAAGGTTTGCCATATGAAAGTATATGCTTGCTTTTGTTTGAAACATAATCTGTATTTCACAGAGACAACATTTATTTTTAAATTTTGAATAATAATGATATAGAGCTTTATGAATATCAATACTTGATGTTTTTAAAAATGTCACTACGCACTTTATTTCTTGATTTTCTTTTCTTAGAGTTCCCATCTTACTAAATATAAGCAGGAAGCCTTTTTTTTTTTTTTTTTTTTAAGGGATTTTACACACAATCATATTAGAAGTAAGTGTGTGTGAAGAGGATATTTTAGATTTTCTCCTTTATCCTGTGATGATTTGTACCTCATAAAATAAGACGTTAAAGTGGCAGGAAAAATTCGACCCTTTTTTAAAAATATATATATTTTTTGGTGTCAAGCAAAAACATGAAAGTCTTGATTTGGCTAGTCTGCTTATTAAATAAAGCATCGATGACCTGCTATTGAAGGGTTCCAAGTTCAGTTCTGATAAAGGTCAACCAATTGATGTGTCTCGCTCATGGGTTTTTCTCTGTCTCTGTCTCTCCCCCTTCCTTCCACTTTGATTAAAAATCAATGCAAAAATATCCTCAGGTGAGGATTAACAACAATAACAAAAGTCTTGACTTAAAGAAGGCTCTAAATTAGACATTTGCATTTAGTAGAATGAAGAACTTTAACTTTAAAATTTCATAAGATGAAAAGATACTTGTGGGGAAAAATATATCAAGATTTTTTGTAATAAGCAATGATTTCATTTTATTTAGGGTAGTGTGAAATTTGTGAAAACAGTATTTCCCTCAATGCCTGCAAAATTGCAACTCTCAAAAGATAACACATCTACCAATGAATCGCCAGAACAAATAGCTGCAGCTATGCATTATGTAAGTACAAAAGTGGTTTGGGATGGGATCTCTATAAGTAATCTTCTGTACCTCATAAAGTATAGATAATCTGATTTTTTTAAAGTCTCTTCAATTTCCTTTTTGTTATTTTAGTAAAGAAATTTCCAATAAGTATAATGAAGTAACAGGGTATATTTTGTTTTTCAGGATATTAGTAAAGATCCAAATGCAGAGAAGCTTGTTTCAAGATATCACCCACATTTAGTTCTAACTAGTCAATCATTGTTTGCCTTATTAAATAATCATGGACCAGACTACAAGGAACAGTGGGAAATTCCAGTGTGTATTCAACTAATACCTGTTGCAGGTTTGTGATTTGCCATATCAGGTTACGCTCTTAACAGAGAAATTGGAATGGTTCTATTTCATCTTTCTAAACACAGGTAGTCATTTGTCAAATAGAAAATATCTAAGTTTTGATTTAAGGAGGATTTAAGTTTGATATTTACATTCAATAGAACTTTTTAAATAGATAGAGCTACCACATAATTGACAGTCATCTATATATATAAAAGTCTAAGTGACTTTTACAATGGAATGACCAGTCAATCAGTTACTATGACATGCACTGACCACTAGGGGGCAGATGCTTGACACAGGAGCTGCCCCCTTCCCTGGGGGCTGCCTGCCTGCTGCAGTCGTGGCGTAACAGTGAGGTAAAGAGGAGAGAGGGAGGTGGGGAACTGCATGGTGGTGGGGCATCGATGTCCGGCATTTGTTCCTTTTGCACCCAGCCCAGCGACCATCAACTCCCCCCCGAGGCCTTTGGGCCCTGGGCTGGGACGGGGAACTGGAGGTGGGTGGTGGCTGATGCGGCCTCTTTCCCAGGGGCACTGAGGGCCAGCTCCCTTCTTGGGGCCAACAGCCAACCCCTGCAGTCCCTCACCCAGCCAGCCAACCCACTGAGGTCCCTTCCCCTCCATGACTCCCACCCCCCACTCCAGGGCATGCACCGGGCCTCTAGTATATATATAAAGAGGCAGGGCCTGTAACATCCAAAACAACTGAATGGACGACTGAACACCAGAAGTTCGTCCTGCAGTCAGTGCTGGGTTACAGATCAAGCCTAGAGGGAGGCCCAGAGAAAGAAGCAGGGTCTGATCCACAGCGTCCATGGCAGCTGCTGGTCAGCCCCACCTCTCTGATCAGGGCATGAGATAGGCCTGGAGATGCTGTCTGGCATAGAAACTGACCAATCAGAATCAAATCTGGGTGAACTGCAAGGAGCCAATGGCTGTCTAGGAGGCGGGGCTTTTGATGCTGACCATCATGGAAATCAACCAATTAGAACTTAATATGGGTGAAGTTCAAAGAGCCAATTGCTACCTAAGAAGTGGAGCTTTTGATGCTGATTGGCATAGAAATCAATCAATTGGAACCTACTCTTGGTGAACTATGAAGGCAGAATTTAAGGTCGGGGCTGAGGAGGGGTTTTAAGGGCAACAGCTCTTTGGTATAAGGTCTAAGAAAGCAGTTCAATTTTTAAATGACCTGATTGGCAATATAGTGTGTATGACTGGCTATCAGTCCAGATATAGGGATTATTTATTTTTGTCCGCCAAGAGCATCTCTTCCTGATAAAAAGGCTTCCCCACCCATTTAAGCAATCCTATATAATCTATACTACTAAAAGGGTAATGTGCTATTAAGATTGGGTCGGCTGACTATCTTCCAGACTTCCTTCTGGACAAAGCCATGGTGGTGGGGACCAAGGCAGAAGCCTTTTGGGACAATCAGACTGGCAGGGGAGGGCAGTTGGGGGTAAGATCAGGCTGGCCGGGAGGGCAGTTGGGGGCAACCAGGCTGGCAAGGGAGGGAAGTTAGATCAGGCAGGCAGACAGAGGGGTTAGGAGCAATCAGACAGGCAAGCAGAGGCAGTTAGTGGCAATCAGACAAGAGGCAGGTGAGCGGTTAGAACCAATGGTCTTGGATTGTGAGAGGGATGTCCAACTGCTGGTTTAGGCCCACTGTCGGATATCCCCCAAGGAGCCCCCGATTGGAGAGGGTGCAGGCTGGGCTGAGGGACACTCCCCTCCCTTGAATTTTGTGCAACAGGCCACTCGTCTGTCTATATATATAAAAGCCTAGCCAGGACCGGTTTGGCTCAGTGGATAGAGCGTCGGCCTGCGGACTGAAAGGTCCCGGGTTCGATTCCGGTCAAGGGCATGTACCTTGGTTGCGGGCACATCCCCGGTAGGGGGTGTGCAAGAGGCAGCTGATCGATGATTCTCTCTCATCGATGTTTCTAACTCTCTAACCCTCTCTCTTCCTCTCTGTGAAAAAATCAATAAAATATATTAAAAAAAAAAAAAAAAAAGGCCTAAGTGACTGGTATGACCAGTTCACCAAAAGACTGGCCACTGTGACACTCACTGACCACAAGGGGCCAGACGCTCAACACAGGAGCTGTCCCTGGTGGTCAGTGTACTCTCAATCCAACCTGCTGAGGACAGCCAACCTCTCATGGTCCTTCCCTTCAGACTTGGCAAGACGGCCCTGATCAGTGGCCAGGTCAAGGGACCCCATCCATGCACAAATTTGTGCACCGGGCCTCTAGTAGATAAGTTATTAGATCTGTACAGCCTGTACTCATGTTGAGGGGTGAGAGATGTTAGAGCAATAATTATGGTTTAGGGCAGTGGTCAGCAAACCATGGCTTGTGAGCCACATGTGGCTCTTTGGCCCCTTAAGTGTTCTAATGCCACTTCAAGATAGACTTGCCCATGCCAAAAACTGACTTCTGTGCATGGGCCATGAAGTTTCAATCGCATTGTACATGCACACCCACATGTGGTATTTTGTGGAAGAATCACACTCAAGGGTCCAAAGAGCTGCATGTGGCTTGTGAGCCATGGTTTGCCGACCACTGGTTTAGGGTGACTTAAAACACATGAAATGGTGAGATTCTTCCGTCTTTTAATGAAATGAAAGGAATGCAACATTTTATTAGACAAGCTCAAATGGGTGAGGTTCCAGGACTTATTTACTTGTCTGTTATTGGAATTAAGAATTAAAATAGTTCTGTACTTATGAGCATAGGATAATCTCTCCATTGACAGTAATATTATATTTGCATATAAATTCTTCTGTACAAGCGATTATTCCCCTTCAGTTTTGGTTTATATTTAGTAGCTTTTTCTTATATTCCAGAACTAATATTATTATATGTGACAACATAGATATAATAAATGAAGGACTGTGTCTAAAGAAACAAAACAGCAAATGTAATATATTCTCTGTGGTAAAAATGTCATTACATGTTGAAACTATAACCCTATAAGAACTGGGTATTAATGACAGGGAAAGTATGATAAAAAAATAAGTCCTTTTAAAAAATTATTAGAAAGAAAATATACTTTTCTTCCCAGTCAGATTCTCTGATCCTTAGATCTCTAAGAGATTTTAAAGATATTCTGGTTCAGAGGTGGCAGATGTTTGGTTTTGTGCTACCACTTTTTTATCCCATGTCTCTTTATTTAGCGATCTTTCTGTCATATGTTCTGGGGGTTTTTCTTAAATACCACTACTAAAAACTAATAACCCCCTTCTGTTTCTTTTTTAAGGTTCAAAACCGGTTAAAGTAATTTATGTTAATTCACCACTTCCCCAAAAGAAAATGACAATGAGAGAGAGAAATCAAATCTTCCATGAAGTTCCATTAAAATTCATGATGTCCAAAAATACATCTTTTCCAATCTCTGCAGTATTTATGGACAAACCAGAAGAATGTATGCCTGAAATGGATGTATGTAATTTTGTTTTTTCCTTAAGGGAATGTATTTGTTTATTCTGTTGAAGCTTAAAGTTTTATTACAAGTCTCTAAATCTGGTAGTTACAAATCTAGGCTTTAGATTGAAATTTAAAATTGAACCTCAAGTCATGGTAGCCTTTAGGCAACTAACTTAATTTATCTCAGCCTCTGGTTTTCCTTCTTTTTTTAAAAAGAAAGGCAATACCTATTTCACAAGATTGTTGTAAGCATTAGATTTGCTATAATAATGTAAAATGCTGAGCACAGTCATTAGTATGCATGTACTAAAAACTCAGTTAATAATGCTGATAATTATGGTGGTAGTTTTAATTGTTCTCATTTATATTTTAAAAATTTTAAGTATGAAAAGTAACAGATGGATTGATACAGAAAGTATTTGGCCAGATAGTTAATCCTTTTCAGAATGCTTAGTAGTTGTGTGACCTTAAGGAAGCTGTGTCTAATTTGTTTGTCTGTAAAATAGGTATCATGATATTACCTCACTAATAGGATTATTTGGAATTAAATGAGTTAATATATGTAAAGCATTTAGACAGTGCATTTAGAACAATAAAGCATTTGCATTCCAGAAACAATAGCTTTTGCTATTTTGTGTATTTTAAAATATACATGATTATTAAAGTAAGACATTCTGTTTATACTAGACTTTCTTCATTTGTTCCACAAATATTGAGTAAATACTTTTATGTGCAGTGAGGATACAGCAGTGAATAAAAATAGTCTTTTTTTCTCTTAGAGCTTATATCAGTGGTGGGAGGCACAGATAATTAGCAAAAAAGCAGATAATGGTAAGTGCTATCCAGAAAAGGAGAGTTGGTTAATGGAAAGAGATAGAAATGGGGGACTAATTTAGATTCATAGTCAAGAAGGTTTTCCCAGAACAGAAAATATGAACAGAGATTTGAATAAAGTGAGAGAACAAACACAATAAGAAAGTAAAAAAATAAAAATATTTTTCTTATTACTAAGAGTTCATACTATTTTAAGGATATTGGCATTTTGTCTTTTATATTTCTTTATATGTTTATTTTTCTTATTACTAAGAGTTCATACTATTTTAAGGATATTGGCATTTTGTCTTTTATATTTCTTTATATGTTTTCCTCTGTTTGCCATTCATCTTTTAATATTCTTATAAGGTCCTAGAGCATTCCCAACTTTTCTTAAGTTATTATTTATTTATTTATTGCATTTTTAAATCTACCTAAAACTTATGTTAGTGTGAAGTGAATGTAAGGAAGTAACAAGTATTATGAAGAAATATTAAATAGGTTAAAAGGGATGAAAACTGACAGAGTAACTCTTTTCATTAACAGCAGACCAGATTATTTGGATCTTTCTCATTATTGCTGACAACTACAATTGATCTTAGCCAAAAAGCCAGAAAGAGATTATTACTGCTGACAACAAAAAAAAGCTGGAAAAAATATAAAAACCCTTTCTTAAAATCACCAAAGAGCTAACAAGATAGTAAGGGCTGAGATATCAGAGAAGATCAGAATACAGGGAGGTGAGGCTGTCACTTAGGGTTATTTTTGCCCTGGATGGTATTGACCAGCTCTGAAGAGGCAACAGAAAATGAACTGTGGTTTTGACAGCATCAAATCACAGCTCAGTTTTTCATCAAAGACTTAGACCCTACAGGGCTATATCCAAATAGTAAGGGTGAACCAGAAATAAATTGTCTTTCTCAGAGGTTGTAGCCTGAGTTTTCAGGCCTTGAACTTGGATTCAGATGGTTTTGGATTACTGGTGTCTCTAGACACTTCACAGAAACAAATGAAAATAATTATTAGAGGAATATAATATCATTTTGAGCCTCAAATAGTTTCTGTGAATAACTTAAAAATATAAATAACTAGAAACAGGAGGAGAAACAATGATCAAACAAACAGATTCACATAAGTGGGTCTTAGAATTATCCATCAAAAACTGTTAGTCAATTCTGTTTAATTTTACAACATTCAAAGAAAATAATACTTGAAAATTTCAGTAAGGAACTGGAAACTTTTAAAAGCTATAACAGTCCAGCTGGTGTGGCTCACTGGTTGAGCAGTGACCTTTAAACCAGAAGGTCATGGTTTGATTCCCAGTCAGAGCACCTGCCAGAATTTTAGGTTCAGTCCCCGGAAGGGGGGAGTGCATGAGGCAGCCAATCAATGATTATCTCATCATCCATGTTTCTAAGTCTCTCCTTCCTTCTCTGAAGTAAAAACACACACACACACACACACAAAAAAAAAAAAACAACACTACATAACAGATTATTTTCCTTGTGCCTGAAGAACATCCATTAGAGGGGGGCTGAATTTTGCCCTATAACAGATTTGAAAAAGAACTAAATAAAAATTTTAAAACTGAAAAATACAGTAATTACATTTAAGAATTCTACAAATGAGTTATAAGCACATTAGATAAAGCTGAAAAGAGAATCGATAAACTGGAAGATAAATCTGAGAAGACTATCCATGTAACACAGACAATAAAAAGATAAAAAAAATATATAGAAAATAAGGCAAGAGATAGAGAAGATATAATGAAAATGTCTAATATGTGTAGTTACACCCAGAAGGATGGTGCAAAAGAGACATTGAGACCAAATCAATACTTGGAGACAAAAAAAAAAAAACTCTTAAAAGATCTCAGAGAAACAAAAGGCACATTATTATACAGCATTGAGAGTTAAACTGGAAACTAACTCTCAACAGCAACAATGAAGCCAGAAGACATTGGAATAATACTGTGCTAAAAGAATATAACCCATTTACTAAAATTGTCTAACAAATTAAACATATTTTTCATTAAATATTGAGTTTGCTACCAGCAGACCCCCTCTAATGGATGTTCTTCAGGCACAAGAAAAATAATCCAGGTGGAAGGAGGAATGAAGAATAACAAAAGTGAAAATAATATGTATAGACTCTAATTTGTAGAAGTTATTAGTAAGAGATTTCTGAGATGACTAGAACCCTAAGAACTTCAGATATTGACCAGCCAAAGTTTCAAGACAGAAGCCTTTGTTCAGGAAAAATTAGTGGTAGTAGAGTCCATATTCAGCAGAACAAGGGCATTAAAGATAAAGAAAAAAAAGTTTTCAGATAACTAATTGTAGGCGAAGGAAATAGAGGAACCAGATCAAGATTCACACGCACACACACAAACCTACATATATGCATACTTTGTGGTAACAGAGAAGCATGAGCTTAGAGCCATGAAGCTAAGAAAGCTGTCCTGGCATACAGGATTGTTCTTCCATAGCAGCAAGAAAAATCATCACATTTAAACATGAAGAACAGAAGAAGCTTGTTGATGGAAGCTCTTACAAAGTATTAGATGAGGGAAAACATATTGTTATAACATTTCTACAGTGAAGAGGTGATCACCAAACCTAAACTGTATTCTTCCTAAAAAACTCACTTCTAGAAATATAGCTCAGAAGTACCAGGAAAAGAACAAAATGTATGTGCAGTTTATTCATTGCTGTACCATTTGTAGTAGCAAAAGATTAGAAGCAGTGCACATATGTACAGTTATTAAATAAATGGTATATTTTCAATAGTATAGTAAGCAGCTATTAAAAAGAATAAAAGAAGCTTTAGATATGCCACTATAGTGACATCCAGGAAATATTAAGTGAGACAGGCAAGGAAGAGAACATTTTTTGTAATAGGCTATTTTTTATTTAAGTAAGAAGGAAATATAAAATCCATGATTGGCCAAACGTAGGTGTACAGTTGTGAGTACACAAAAATCAGAGTAAAGAAAATCCACACAATGAAGAATACAATTAAACTAATGAAAATGGTTAATTGGAGGAGGGATGGAACAAAGCAGAGGAGGTAGGATTATCAACTGGATTTCTCTGAATGTTCTTTGTTTTATACTTTAACTATTTTAAATGTTTTACATGTCTATGAAACAAATTTTAAAATGTTATAAAAGCCAATCAAAGCTGAAGTGAAACAAATGAACCAACCCACTGTATACCAAGTTAGTGCTTTAACCAGTCAGAGAAGAATTATTTTTAAGTGATTGAAACTTAGTAAATTGATTGTTACAGCACTAAAGATTCATATCCTAAATTTAGAAAGAACTGCCAAAAAATCTTAAATTGCATTTAGTAGTTATATTGTTAAGAATGATATTGCTGTTTTTATTTTGAACACATCAGATAATACAATAAAACTAATATGTAGTAATTATGTTTATATTAGAAATCAAGAATTCCTAATATAATACCAAGCAATGAAGTTAGGTAAAACATCATAATAATATAGGAATTGTATCAAAAAGATGACATCTTGAAGTGTTTTCTATTGGACAGAGATGTGCCAGTTTAACTATGACAAAGGAGGATTGTAGTGGTATGAAACAAGAAATATGGTAAAACCTATAAATTCATAATGGTACTTTACAGAAAGTGCTAGTCATCTTTGGAGAATGCCAATGCATGAAGTCATTATTGTGAAAACTTATTTTTAAAAATAAAGTATTTGTCTTGCCTTTCCAGTACAAACTATATATCAGGGTAATGAAAAAATATGAACTGTCATTATTTTGTAGCTCTTAATGAAATAGTGAATCTAGCCAGTGATCCTCATTAGTGACCGCTAAAATCATTAAAAGATCAATGAGGAATTTTATAATGAATAGATTAAGTTGATGAAGCTTGATGAACCAATAAATCAATTGTAATGCCACAAGAAGAAAGATAACCAGATATCGTTAGCTTCCTGATTGAAGCAGCAATATACAGTACCTTAAATAAATATTCAGCTTAAAAAATTATACCTGAATCTGACCAAGCTATTAGGTCATTTTAATAAGAAATTCTAAAGCTATATGTATCAGAGGGATGCAAGAGTTAAAATTTAAAATGGAAATTTTGTCCATGGCTAGGTAGGTTATTTTGTTAGAGCTTTGTTCCAACACACCAAGATTGTGGGTTCAATTCTTGGTCAGGGCACATACAAGAATCAACCAATGAATGCACAAATAAGTGGAACAACAAATCAGCGTTTCTCTCTCTAATCAATTTAAAAAATGGAAATTTTTACAGACTAATCTGGTTTCTTCTCTAAGTATCTGGCAGATGTGGGAGTTGACAGAATATGGGGAGAGGCATTTGACAAAGAAAATTGAGAGATGTGTCAACCAAATGCAATATAAAGATTTTGGTTGAATACTGATTTCAATAAATAATTGTAAAAAAAAAAATCACACTGGGAAATTTTAACATTTGATTAAATATTTTATGACATTAAGGAAGAATCCTTTTATAGCTACATGCTAAAGTACAGATAAATAAGATTTTTAATTTTATCTAAAACCTGTTGGGGTGAGAATTGTTTTTCATTTCATTAATTTTTTATTTTATATTAAATTTTCTATTTTATTATATTATGTATTGCAAAAGCTATGAATGATACTTCTGATTTTTAGTGTCTAATTTAGTGTTCTAATTTTTGTTGCTCTTAAAGTATTTTATAATTATCATCTGGAGTCTTTGTTCATTTCCAAGTGCTTGAGTTTATATTTTTCTTAATGATTTTATTTCCCTCTAAATAGAGAGTAAGACCTTAGAAAATTGTGCTTTGTGCTATATTGATGTTTTCTTTGTGTATTAACTTATAGTCCATCTTTGGAAATGCCCCTTGGAATCTTGGGAGGGAAAAGGTATATCTCTGTAGTCTATTCGTATGTTTTCAGTCATTCATTTTTTTGTTTCAAGCCTATAATATTATTTATACTTTCTGTTTTTACATACTTAGTGACATATACAATTATGTTTCTGTCAAATTTTCCTTTTATTTTAAAGTTTTGACTATATATTTTGATGGGTTAGGAATGTCACAATTTATGATCAGACCATTATCTATTCGTCAACAATTTCCTCTTTTTTTAATATAGGATTTCTTTTTCTGTCTAATGCTTTGCATTGAATTCTGTGTTGTCTAACACTTAATATTGCTATTCCTTCTCTCTTTATTTCTTGATATTTTGCCCTGTGGTGTTTTTTTTGGTTTTTTTACCTCTTTGTGAAGGAATGCTTTATATAAATAACATAGTTTATTTTTTTACTAAATCTAGTAGTATTTCTTTTTTAATTTTATTAAGATCTACCTTTACTGAGAAGCTATTTACTATGTGCCAGGGACTATGTCAAGTAACTTTCTATATAAAAGTTTTCATTTACTCCTTAGAATAAATTCAAGATGACCCTGTTATCACTATTTTAATGATGAAGAAATTAAGGCCCCAAAAGATTAAAAGAATTTACACAAGTTGACTTACTCACTATCTGATTGCTGTCAGACTTTCTTTCTCAAAACCTGAGCTATAAGGCTAATGGGTGCACATTGCCCAGCCTGTAACCAAATTCCCATGGTCTTTCTTTAACATGCTATGCCAGATTAAGGAGAGATCTGCTGCTTGAGGAAGAGGACCGTTTATTCCTGAATAAATTAAATCTGTAATTCTTCAATTACCAAAATAGTACATAAAAAAACTATAGTTTCAGTGGCTTCATGTGCCAGAATACCAAAAAATCATGTCCTGTCCATTTCTCCCTCCTCCTGTTACTGAGATTCGTTTTCCCTGAGTATATGTAGGAAGAAAGTCACTGATTGATGCACCTGACTCAGAGGCTGGCAATCCTTCACCAGCTGCATTCTGTGTTGCTCATAGTGGCAAAGAGGCTTTTCTCCTGTCAGCTAAGTCCAGGTGTCTGCCTCTGCAAGCGTGTGTGGAACTGGTGTGAATGAAAATCTGCTTCCTTCCTATTTGGCTCCATGTCTTCTTTGTGGCCCAGTCTACTTTTTGATTAGTGGAAATTCTTCTTGGGATGTGGTAGTTCACAAATACTCCCCATTTCCTGTGTTGATAACAGCTTCACAAATTTGTGTTTCATCAAAATTGCAATGGGAATGTAAAATAAATTAGTTGATAGTCATTCATTGTCATTTTTAAGCAAGAACCTTTCAAAGCCATTAGACTTTCTGCTTTTAAAGAGCATGAACTATGTATGTGAGGTGTTGGGGCATTAAGAGATAGATGAGGTGTGGCCTGGAACTTTTGCTAATAGTTTACCGATATATTTTCTTAAGATGTCCCATGAAGTTAATGACTGCCGAAAAATTGAAACCCTTGAAAATTTGGATCTGGATTTTGATGATGATGTCACAGAACTTGAAACTTTTGGAGTAACCACCACCAAACCATCCAAGTCCCCAAGTCCAGCAAGTACTTCCACAGTACCCAACATGCCAGACGCTCCCAGAGCCCCCAGTGCAGCAACCACACCTGTGGCACCAGCTGCCCCAGAAGACATTTCTGCTCATTCTAGAAGTTTAGCTCAGATTCTAATGCAACAGTTGCAAAAGGAGAAACAGCTGATGACTGGTATGGATGGTGGCCCTGAAGAGTGTAAAAGTAAAGGGGATGAGGGAGTTGTACCATGTGCTGAGAAGGTATCAGATAATTCTGTCCAACCTCTGGTGCAAGATGGTGACTTGCAAACACCTGATGCGCTACAGTTAGGAAGTTCTGTGGAAATGGAAACCTCTAATAAAAATGACATGGCTGTTGATACAATGTGTGCTGATGAAAGACTCAATATTCTAGAGAGTACTGACAATTCAAAGGAAAAGACTGTTACATCAGAAGCAGAGAAAACGGAAGATGTAATTCTTTGTCAAAGTGATACAGATGAAGACTGTTTAATCATTGATACAGAGTGTCAAAAGAATAGTACAGGAAAGACAGCTGATGTGGGTTCTAACTTAAATGCTAAACCAGCCAGCCCAAATTCTTCCTCAGGACAGGCTTCTATAGGAAACCAGACTAATACTACTTGTAGTCCTGAGGAGTCCTGTGTTTTAAAAAAACCTATCAAACGGGTATATAAAAAATTTGACCCAGTTGGGGAAATTTTAAAAATGCAAGATGAACTCTTAAAGCCAGTTTCCCGAAAGATGCCTGAATTGCCTTTAATGAATACAGAAAATTCTAAACAACCTCCTGTTTCCGAGCAGCCCTCTGCTCCTTCAGATGCCACTACTTGGCCCAAAACTGCATGGACCTCTGCATTTCAGAAGCCAAAAGGACGTAAGTAAATATTTACAAAAAAAACTTTATATTTACTCTTGCCTGTACCTTATCCTTCAGTTCTTTTCCTTCATTCCTTCACTTTCTCTTTGTATTATATAGTCATTGATATTTCACTTCATTTTTAATCTACTTACCAGTATTTTCACTTCCAAGCCTCCTCTCTAAATATGTACCCAAAGTTGTATAGAGTTTGTACCCTATGTTTATCCAACATGTACAGTGGCTACTAAGCTATAGGCAATATAGTTTGCCAAACTAAAAGGAAACTGCATAAAAATAATATACATTTATTAATCCAAAATGTATATCTTCTTGGTATTGGACTACAGTTTTATACTTTCACATTTTGTGAAATAGATATAAAGCTGTACTTCAGCTCTGCCTAGATTAGGAATAAGACTTTTTTTTAACCCTTTTTTCCTTCTCACTTCATATATTGTCTCACTAATGTATACTTTGCCTAGGAACAGTTAAGATAGTAGTTAAAAGAAAGAACTGTAATGCTTCGATTTCTGGTTTTGCTGCAGTTCCAATAAACATAAACATAAATGGTACTAGTGTGAAGGTGTACTCAGAGGAAATAGAAAGCTAAAGTTGATAGAAATTTAAGAGTAGATCATTGAATTGTTTTATCTTGGATTATGATGAATAACCGACTAATGTCTTTTAAAATAAAAATGAGATATAATTCTTTTTGAAGGATTGCCATATGAACTGCAGGACTATGTTGAAGATACATCAGAATATGTAGCTCCTCAGGAAGGAAATTTTGTTTACAAGTTATTTAGCCTGCAAGACCTGTTGTTACTTGTTCGATGCAGTGTCCAGAAGATAGAGACCAGACCACGTTCTAAAAAACGGAAGAAAATCAGAAGAGTAAGTTGTTACTTGTGGAGTTGGGATGTAGTAGCCCAAATAAATAATCTTCAAATATCTAACATGACATTGTTGTGAAGTTTAAGTTATTGATCACTCTTATAGTAGTTTTTCCAGGTTGAATTTTTAGTAAATACTGAAAACATTTTTAATAAGTGAAAGTGCTGAATTAAATATAATTAGTCATGAATGCTGATAATGTTCTTGCATGATATGTATAAACTTTGTGAATAATAGCCCCATCATAGATTTAACTGAGACTGGCACATATTTTCCTGCTTTCTCTGTGAATTGGGATTTTCATTATGACGTACTAGAGGCCCATTGCACGAAATTCATGCACAGGTAGGGTCCCTAGGCCTGGCCAGCGATCAGGGCTGATTGGGGCCTCCTGGCTGCCAGCTGGGGCCTTCCTTCCGGCTGCCAGGCAGGCGGGGCCTTCCTTCGTTCCACATCACCCCCTGGTGGTAGGCACATGTCATAGTAAGCGATCAGACTCTTGGTCTCCTGGTCAAACTCTTGCCAGGATTGTCAGAAGACCAAATGTTTTCCTTTCTTTTTCCCCTCTTGTTTCTTTTGGGCTTGATATCAATATTTTCCTTAGTTAAAAAACTTTTTAGTATAATTTGAATAATTGGCTCTTTCAACAGTTTTCTGTATTTGATATTTGAAATTATTTTCCAGATTAGTTTGATTTGTGTGTGTGTGATCACAGAATTTTGGTAAATAAAGAGGAGTCTTCTATGTTATAATTGATTAAGAAATAATGAAGTCTCTAATTTTTTAAGATAATTTTTTCTTTTGTGTACATTTATCATAGTATACGTCTTAAAAGTTTTCATGTCTGTCTCATTCTGTCTAACCTACCACCCAATAACAATCTTCCAGTGATCACTCTATAATGTCAGTGTGCTTTGGAGCTAGGGATTAAGATGAATTAAGAATTGTCATGTTCCAGCATTGACCCTTATAGATCAGTCATATTAAGAAATAACTGAAAAAAAATAAAAAGTGTCAACCTTTTTAAGCTAATAGCAGCAGGGTCTATCATGAAAACACTCTAAAGCTAACTATGAGATTTGGGTGTATACTTTGTCCATTGGAATCCAATGGACTTGGTGGATCTTTTGCTTGATATTTTATCCTTTGTTAAACTTAAGAAAGGTCTCGAATAAATTATTAAATTCCTAATTCTTATAATTGGGTTTTCATCACTATTTCAGACTTGAAATTGAAAGCAAATAACTTTTAATTAATTGCATGAGGCAGTTTAGTATGTTTTGGTGTTAGTTTTTTTTTAATAAGAGAAAGTCAAGGAATGGCAAAAGACTATACATTGAACACTGATATTCTCTGTATTTAAAAATGTTTACTTTATTTGCTAATTTCCCTGTTTTATATGTATTTTACTATGATCAATTTAATGGCCACAGCATGAACATCTTAAATATATATAGTGTCAATGCTATGGATTAAATTTTCAAGGTTTTATATCTTTCATTCTTACTTACTGTCTTTGACTTATTGGGAGATAACCTTTTTTCTTTCACTTTCTACCCTATGAACCCATACATACCACTTTGTAGTGATCTGATAGCTTACAACACTCAAACATTGATGGCCAGTGTATCTTAAGTAAGAATAGCCTAGGGATGTTTTGGATATTTTTTTTTAATTTCTGAAGACATTGTCATTCATTTGACTGAAGTGAAATTTATAAATGTAAAAACAAAACTTTATAGGTGAGACTCGATCCTTCATAAAAATATAATATATCAAAACATATCTTCAAAGAATATCTGGATAGCCTTATATTTTTGATTGTGTCAAACCCAGAGTAAAAGTTAAAATTTTTCAGTGAATAGTTATCAGATGGTACTAGTCATTGTATGTAATAGTTTAGTACATATCGTTTAAATCCATAACAAAATGTATTCCCCTTGGAATCATGTCTCTCTTTTCTCCGAAATGTTTTATACCATAGAAACTCAATAAATAGGTATTGAGTAAATGAGAAAACTTGAGGGGTGAAGAAGGAGGGAGGTGTTGATAAGAAAGGTAATTTAGGGAAGTTGAGGCACTAGTTTGAGACATTTTAGAGTGGTACCGTTTGCGACTAGGTTAGAATCTTCCTCATTAATATTTCCTATTTAAAAACCAACTTGTTTAGATAAAGCTTTAAAATATGTTACAGAAGTTTCTTCAAACTCTGATTTTCCTTTGGGTTTTCAGTGTTCTATTAATAATAGTTGAGATTTTAATTTCCAATATCATTTGTCCTTTCTCGTCAAAATGCTGCTTAATAAGAACTGCACATTAGAGAACTTAAAACAGCAGCCAGTCTTAAATGATGGAATGAAATAAAAAAAGCTAATTTGGATCACAAGATAAAGCAAGAACTTACTGAGTTATGCCCATAATCATGAAATCCACACTAAGTAACTTTGAATGATTTGATATTATCTGTATCAGTTAACCAAATTTCCTAAGAGATATATATTCTAAAATAATTCAAAAATTTAGATCCAATTATTTTGTAATTTATATTGGTATTCAAGGGTGAGGAAAAAAGATACTGAAGGTACTCAAATAGAATGAATCCAGTGGGATCAGTGTCAGGAAATAGCTTTGAAGTATCTATTTAGAAATGTATGTGAAAGTTTAAAAGGTTTAATGTGAAAAATTGGAAGACAGAGAACCAAGAAAGCTTTCACTTGGGGAAAATAGGAGCTACTTATCAAGGGAGAAAGGAAATACTATTATAGATTTAATTTTTATAGTTAGTAAACTTTGATTGCACTTAAACTTTCACTTTAATTTTGGAATACTAAGATAAAATATTCAGACTTTCTTTCCTGTGGCTTCCTGGAGATGGCAGTAGAATACACACAAAATTTAAAACCAGAATCAGATATGGCAGTTACTAACAAAGAAAATCCTCCTGACTATCAAAGTACTTTCTTTTCAGAAACAGTAATATTTTCTTATTTAAAAAAAAATCTTAACACTGTTATCTAGTCATGATTCAGAAAGGGGTCTTCTTAATCAGTTGTTCTTTTCCTAACCCTGCTGTAAACTGGCTATGTGTCCTTAAGCAAATGCCTTAGTCCTTTGGGCCTTCTTCTTTTCTTTTTTTTTTTTTTAAATCCTCACCTGAGGATATGTTTGTTGATATGAGATACAGAGAGAAACATCGATATGAGAGAGAGAGACATCTATCAATTGCCTCCCATACATGCCTGACCAGGGATCAAACTCACAACCTAGATGTGCTCTGACTGGGAATCAAACCCACAACATTTTGGTATATAAGTAGGTGCTCCAATCAACTGAGCCACCTAGATCTTCGTTTCTTTATCTCTAGCTACTATTTGCAACTATAAATAATTTTAAATGCAGATTGCCCATTGCTAAAGAATTATCCTTTATAATAAAAGCCTAATATACAAATTGACCAAACGGCGGAACCACTGGTTGATGGAGGAGTGGGGCCAGTGAGCAGGCTGTGCCAGGCCAGCCAAGGTGGCTGCCTGTGGGCAGAGGGAGCAGACAGCGATCAGGGGGGCGACAGTGACTAGCAGTGGCAGAGGGGCATTCGGGGGGCTTGGCTGGCCTACCGGTTGCCTTCTGGAGGGAGCAGGCCTAAGCCGTTAGTCAGACATTCCCTGAAGGCTCCCGGACTGAGAGAGGGCGCAGGCCAGCCTGAGGGATGCACCACCCAGTGCAAGAGCTTTTGTGCACTGGGCCTCTAGTCCTATATAATAAATATATAATAAAAGTGTAGTGTGTAAAGTATCCCCTTGATTGGAGTTCTTTCAGAAGTTGACCAGGGGGTGGGATGGCCGCGGGGAGGGAGGGAGGCCCTGGCCAGTGTAGTGGCTGGTAGCCAGGGGAAGGGAGGGCGGCCCCAGCTTGCTGGCGGCAGTGGCAGGTGGCTGAGGGAAGGGAGAGAGTACCCGGCCGGCATCTGGCAGTGGTTAGGGACCCCACCAGTGCACGAGTTTCATGTGCTGAACCTCTAGTTATACAATAAAATACTCTTAGCAATAAAATTAAATCGAGGGGCTTTATTACTCAAAATTTGGTCCCTGGAATAACAGCTTTTTAAAAATGCAAAACTTTAGTCTTCACCTCAGATTCTACAATTTAATAAGATCACCAGGTTATTCCTATGTACACTGAAATTTAAAAAACACTACTTTAAAGTTTTATAACATTCATGTTATCATATAGTCATATAAGTCAAAAACCTCCAAACTTGATGATAACAGAAATTTTACTGGATTTGAATTGTTCTTACCACCACTGTTGTGCAAAGCTCATTAAAATGCCCACTTTGTGAAAATCAGGAATTCTAAAACATTTATGAAATATTTTCAAGTATATAAATAGTGACAGCTTAGTATAATTTCAAAGTACTATGTAGCAATATCGCTCTGAGTAAGCTCCATAAATCATGTCTCTCCCCTTCTGCAGTTGGAAATGAAGTTGCTGCTATTAACAGTAGAATTTTCTTTGTCAGAAATAAGATAACATGAGCACAGTGAACACGACTAACATGATATTTCACAAGCATGTATTTTCTTGCATACCCTCCTTTAAACCAGTAATGGGTATAGTCATTTACCTAATCTATTTAGTGTCCTGACCAATAAACTCTAAATCTATAACTTTCCAGGTGGTTAGTGTCTAGAATAAAGCTTTTATATTAATGAAACTAATGAGATTCACAGATGTTAATGTAGGTATGGATGCTCATACATTCATAGAATGAAAACAAGCTGATCAAACTACTTGAGCCTTAGATAATGTGACTAATGCTTTAAAAGGGCAAAACTAGTAACTTTTTTTTTTTTTTTATCCTCTTGAGAGTTACTGGTATATTTTATAGTCATTGCTTCCAGAAGCTGGTGTTTAACCTTTGGGCAATTGTGTATTAGAGGCTCTGTTTCAAGGTTTATGCTGTCAGTCACATTCTCTGGTGGAAGTAAATGCAGATTTCCTGTTGCTGAAGAATTATTATACAATAAAATGCTTTTAGCAATAAAATTAAATCAAGGGGCACATGTGGAGAGGAATACTGCCTGGGCTGGGGCTGTCAGGGGAAGGGGTGGTTAGGATCTCTTTTTCATCCACCTCTCACCCACAAGGGTTCTATCTGTCTTTCTGTCTGAACCCCACTGTATTTGAAGGGATCAAATAAAATTACTTGAAAGCATTTTGAAAGTGGCAAAACTGTATAGGCAAATATATTTGTAAACAAATGGAACTTTGTGAAAGAGTATAACCTTACATTGCAGCAAGTCCCAGTTTATGTTCTTCCAAAAGTGGAGTATCAAGCTTGTTATGGAGCTGAAGCTCTGACTGAAAGCGAACTGTGTCGCCTATGGACTGAAAGTTTATTGCATTCCAACAGCTCCTTTTACATTGGTAAGTTATATAAGAGTCTTTATTCTCTTTTTTTATTCTCTTGTAAGTACATACTTTTTTATTCAATTATAAATGTTTATTCTATATGCTTTGTTTTTAGTTTTCTGATTGTTAACATTCCTATTAAAACACCATTCCCTACTCTAGAGTTACGTGGCAGTGTGAGACTAATGATCTCAAATGTTTTAATTTCCCTCTTATCCCATATTTATTTAGTTGTACATGAATGTCAACCAAATTATTTTATTTTTAAAATACTTTAATAATGTTAGTGACTAAAAATATAGAGGTGATTTCTAATGAACTTCTTTAAAAGTACTTTTTAATTGGTTTAAACATATACTTTGAAATGTTTTTAAAATTATAACGATACTAGAGGCCTGGTGCACGAATTTGTGCACCAGTGGGGTCCCTCAGCCTGGTCTGTGGGATTGGGTCAAAACTGGCTCTTCAACATTTCCCAAGAGTTCTCGGATTGCGAGAGGGCCCAGACCAGGCTGAAGGACCTCCTCAGTGCATGTTTGGGGCTAGGGAGGGATGTGGGAGGTTGGTCAGCCAAGAAGGGATCACGGGTGGGCTCCAAGGCATGTCTGGCCCTCTCGCTCAGTCCCAACCAGACTCCAGAAGCAAGCTAACCTACCCGTCAGAGCAACCGCCCTCTGGTGGTCAGTGCATGTCATAGCGAGTAGAGGAGTGGCCTTAGCATATCATTAGCATATTATGCTTTGATTGATTGAATGACTGATCAGATGACTAGACACTTAACATATTAAGCTTTTATTATATAGGATTGTTTATGAAATCTCTAATATTTTTTAAAAATATATTTTATTGACTTTTTTACAGAGAGAAAGGATAGAGTGTCAGAAATGTTGATGAGAGAGAATCATTGACCAGCTGCCTCCTGCACACCCCCCACTGGGGATGTGCCCTCAACCAATGTACATGCCCTTGATCAGAATTGAACCTGGGACCCCTCAGTCCACAGACTGACGCTCTAACCACTGAACCAAACCGGTTTTGGCTCTAATATTTTTTAAAATGTATTTTTATTGATGAGAGGAAGGAAGAGGGAGAGAGAAATAGAAACATCAATGAGAGCGAAATCATTGATTAGCTCCCTCCTGCACATCCCACACTGGGATCAAGCCCACAACCTGGGCATGTATCCTGGCCAGGAATCGAACTATTACCTCCAGGTTCATAAGTCGATGCTCAACCACTGAACCATGCCAGCCAAGCTAAAATCTCAAATACTGATGAAATATTTTTTCTTTGTTTTTGTTTTGCATCTTTTGGGGGCAGGTAGTTAGGCAGGGATTTAATTTGTGTTAGTTGGGTTCATGTATAGTTAACATACTTCACAGGAAGAATCATTGATACTGTTCACTCCTGTGAAATGCCTAATCTCACATCTCGATCCATCCCAGCCAACTCTAGTTGCCCCTCTATTAAGTCATTTTCTTCCTGTGATCTCTCAATAATTATCGATATCTTTTTTTTTATTATTGTTCTAATGACTTGTTGCTTTCTACTTTAGTGTTTTTTGAATCTACTTTTCATTAAACAATAAGCAGTTTAATAATCTGATGAAACTTTGGATTTGAATTACATTTCTCTGTTGATTAGTGATGTTAAGTAACTTTTCATATGTCTTTTGGTCATCTGTATGTCTTCCTCAGAGAAATATCTAATCAGGGCTTTTGCCCACATTTTATTTATTTCTTACTTACTTATTTCATCACCATTTATCTCCTTTATGACCTCTTTCACCTCTACCTCTCCCCCTCCCCAATCATCACACTGTTATCCATGTCCATGAGTTCTCTCATTTTTTTTATTTTGTTCAGTCCCTCTACCCCAGTTCCTGCCACACTTTCCTTCCCCCACCCTTCACCCCTAATGCTCTCTAACTATAAGTCTGTCTCTATGAATTACTTTTTAAAATAGAATTGTCATCTTGAAAATTTGCCATTTTGTTTTTTGGAATTATAGAATTATGCCATATTCAGAAGAAAGTAAAACTTGGAATATACTGTTTGGTTTTTATGTTTAACCATAAGAAATCTTATGTGTGCTTTTATTAAAAATAAGCCAGATTTTTTTCTTCAGCTTTACAAAGGTATAATTGACAAAATAGTAAGATATTTAAACTGTACATGTTGATGATTTGATATACCTATACATTGTAAAAGAATTTCTCCCATATAGTTAATTAACACATCACCTCACATATTTATATTTTTAATGAGAACATTTGTGTTCTATGTCAAATTTTAATTATAAAATAGTATTATCAATTATAATTACCATTTATACATTAGATCCTTAGATCTTATCTATCTTATAGCTGAATGTTGTACCCTTTCACCAACCTCTTCTTATTTCTCTCGGAATCACTGACTTTTCTACTCTCTATTTCTAAAAAATTTGATTTATTTATTTATTTATTTATTTTATATTTTCTGTACAAGTAATAACCATGCAGTATTTATCTTTCTCTAACTCATTTCATTTAGCTTAATGTCCTCTGGATCTATCTTTATTGTCATAAATAACAGAATTTCCTTCTTCCTCTTGATATAAATATATGTATATGCAGTATATCACATCTTCTTTATCTATTCTTCTGTTGATGAACACTTAAGTTCTTTTCACATATTGGTTATTGTGAATAATTAAGCTGGCTTTTTATAATCTTAACTAGAGGCCTGGTACATGAAATTCATGCACAGGGACAGTGGAGAGGGAGAGGGTGAGGGTTCAGCTTGGCCTGAACCCTCTCCAATCTGGGACCCCTTGGGGGATGTCCGACTGCCAGGTTAGATATCCCACTCACAATCTGAAACTGCTGGCTCCTAATCATTTGCCTGCCTACCTGCCTGATCACCCCTTAACTGCTCCCTTGCTGGCCTGATTGATGCCTAACTGCTCCCCTGCCAATGCAATTGCCCCCAACTGCTCTCCCCTGCTGGCCTGATCGCTCCTCCCTGCCCTGCCCTGCAGGCCTGGTCACCTCCAACTACCCTCCCCTGCCAACCTAATCTCCCCCAACTTCCCTCCCCTGCTGGCCTGATCGCCCACAACTGCACTCCCCTGCCGGCCATCTTGTGTCTGCCATCTTGTGATGACATTGCAGTGGCCATCTTGTGACAATATTGCACAAAGCCACCTAGGTTTTTATTATATAGGATTTTTATCTTAAGAACCAAGTATGTCTTAGAGATGTGTAGAGAGTGTCCTAAATAAATTTTATTCATTTGCTTTGATAATAAATACAATATTTCTCTAAAAATTGTATCTCCATAAAAATTCAACTTTTATAGCAACTAGACGCTCCAATATTTTAAGTTGTTATTCTTAAACTAGGGGCCCAGTGCATGAATGTGTGCACCTTGAAAGGAAATGTGGGCCGATAGGCTGTGGTGGGCACACTGGGGAGGGGAGAGTCTTGGCTCATCCTCTGCACCACCTGCCCCTTCCTGCCATGACCCCCGGTCCCCTCTTTGTTGGCAGCCAGTGCAGCTGATGGTGTTGGCCCACTCATATCCACTAATGGTGCAGAGCAGTTGGTACCAACACCAGCAACGGATGCAAGTGGCAGGTGCTGCTGCTGCCCCGATCGCCCTTCAGAAGTAGGGGGAGGTGAAGAAGCCCTCAGAGGTGATTGGGGCCGGCAGCTGCTGCTCACACCTGCTGACAGCGCCAAGCGATCTGGATCGGCACCCGGTGCTGGCATTGGGTGTGAGCAGAGGCTCCAGCGCTGGCTGCAGGTGCAAGAGGTGGCTGCTGGCTCCAATTGCCCCTAGGAGCAGGGGGAGGTGAAGCCCTGAGGGGTGATCAGGGCTGGTGCCAGGCAGGGAACTGTGGTGCGCAAGACCAAAGAATTTTCAGTAACCACCGGAGACTCGCCCCAATGACAGCCTCCACTCACCTGCTCCACCATCCCGTCTCGGCTGATGCCCTCCATGTTCTGTGCATGACCCTGGTGGTCAGCACATGTTATAGTGACCAGTTGTTTGGTTGTTCAACTGGTTGGTCTATTTGAATATTAAGATTTTATATATATAGATTGTGGGCTGAGAAATTATTTCTCTCCTTTTTTTGTGTGTTGACGCATGTTACCTTTTTTCCATTTAGCACATTTTTAAAACAACTCTTGGAATGTAAAGTTTCTTTATAGTTATTACAGTTTTATAAAAACACTAGAGGCCCAATGCACAAAATTCATGCAAGAGTAGAACTTCCTTCCCCTGGCTGCCGGCATTGGCTTCCCTCATGCATTCAGCACCCAGGACCCAGGCTTCTCTCGGCTACCAGCAGGCACCCACAACCCAGGCTTCCCTCGCAGGCCCAGCTTCATCCAGAAGGACATCTGGTCTAATTAGCATATTATGCTTTTATTATTAGAGAATATTATAGATCTTTGAAGAGACTGGATAACTTGTTTTTTAGTTTTTCAAATGCTGCAATTATTTTTAAGTTCTATATTTTATTTTAGGTCATATCGATGCTTTTACTTCAAAGCTTTTCCTGCTAGAAGAAATTACCTCAGAAGAATTAAAAGAAAAAATTTCAGCACTCAAGTAAGAAAGTTTATTTTGTGGTAGTAACTTTTAAACTTGTTAATATCACAAATTTTATTTCTAAATACTGGTCAACTTTAAATCCTTCCATTTTAAAACGTTTGAGCCTTTTATACATTGAAGCTTCTCCTGACCCAACTTGTGATCTATCCATCTTAATCTCAATCTCCAAATTAAACATAATGCTAGTGGCACCAGTCTTTCTACTTAAGACAGGAGGAGGCTGGAGCAAGAGAGTAGGCCATCACCTCGGAGACGCACAGAACCAAATATTGCACCCTTTCTCAGGGATGGGAAAGAAAAGGACAGTCACAGACTCTTAGCTCTCAGGATTGTATATACTCATTTAGACATCCTAATTTCTAAGTTTGTCCCTCTACCTAGCGTTTCTGTGCATCAGAGTGAAATGAATTTACTGTACTCAGAACAGTACAAATGCAATGGAAATAACTTATGAACATTATGTAATTTGCATCTCCCAAATTTCTAGGAAAGACTGGTGGTAGTATATCTCCATTTTATATGTGAGGAAACTGGGACTCTGACTTGCCCTGGAGCACACAGCTAAGCTAGTGACAGGCTTGGTAGATAATATATTTGATTTACCACTTAGGATGAAAAATTGTCCTGATTTACACTAGTTGCATAGTTCCAGCCTTGAGGCTTGACACAGTTTTTTCAAACTTTATTTCTCTGCTTGAACTTATAAATGTCCACTTCAATTAGAAGAATTGCTTCTTTCCAGGGGTAACCTATGTAAAGCTTTTTCATACATCACATTTACATACATTTACATATGTAAAGTTTTTTGTGTACATTATTCAACACCTGTCCCACATCACCCAGTGAAAACCATTTTTAAATAAATAAGAAAGGAAATGAGTTTAGGTCCAGAAAAGATACTAAAGAAATTCATTTCATTTGTTTTTTTCCTGTCCGCTGTCAGTGGCTTCTCTGGCATCACTCAGTTTCTCTCAATTTAAAGTATCTCTCAATTTCTTTGGAAGCTAATTCAGGACCATCTCTAAAAGTTAAGCTCTTACTCAGACTGGTTTTGCTAAAAACATCTGAACATTTTTAAAATTTTATAATTTGAACATAAAGTACTGATCTCCTTACAACTGCTCTAACAAAAGCCAGTCCCTGGTGATTTTGAAGAAAACTCAAAAAAATGTCAAAAAAATAAGTGTTATTATAATTTACTCAAATTAGAAATAAATTTTGGTATTCTGTGTTTTACACTATCTCAACTGTTTTCTTTGTTACTGAGGGCATTTCTCTTTCTAAAGAGCTATAATTGTTAAGAGAAAAGGTTTTTTTGTTGTTTAATTATACATTAATTTCTTCAATTCTCTAGGATTTCAAGTTTATTTAATATCCTTCAACATATTCTAAAGAAATTAACTAGGTAAGTATTTTTTGGACAGTTTCATTGATATGTCTGATTTTCTGGGATGAAAATTCAAGAATACAAACTTTGAATTTATGCTGTTAGGAATAAATATAATATAACCCAGAAGATTTATTTTTGTGTGTTTGTCAAAGTTAAAGTTGTGAAAATATAACTAAAAAGATATCATTTACATTTTTCTATAAGGCTTATTTTATTGGCTTCTTATTGCTACTGTAACAAACTACCACAAACTTAGTGGCTGAGAACAACACAATGCATTATCTTACAGTTCTGCAGGTCAGAAATAATTTTTCACTGGAGTAAACTCATGTCAGCAGGACTGGTTCCTTCTGGAGGTTATGTGGGGAAAATCATTTCCTTGCCTTCATTTTCAGCTTTTAGTGGCTACCTGTATCCCTTTACTTTGCTTCTTTTCTCCATCTTCAAAGCAAATCACTCATATTTCTGCTTTCCTTGTCACAGTTGCAAAGCCATTAAGTGTAACATTAACAGTTCTGGAGATTAGAATGTGGCCATCCTGGGTGACGATTATTTAGTCTACCGTAGCTATATTGTTCACATTTTTAGGGTAAGGAAGCAACATAGACTAGTGATCAAAAGTCATTAGGTCCATGGCAAATATTAGAATATGGATTCTCCACCCGATCATTTATCAAACTAAGTAAGTGAACTTGTTACATGAACTTTTGTGTTTTTCTGTTATGCCCTATACCAAAAGATAAACTTAAAAACAAACAATTCAAGAGTCTGGTCAAAAATCTCAAAGTTCTAACTCTCCTAATTATTATGAAATGATGGTGTTGAGTTCAATTATTTTCTAAGTACTTTTCAGTTCTCAGATTCTGTGATTCTGTAGTGGGATTTTTATTTTCTATATTCTGTTATTCATATAAAATACAATGCATATATATAAAAAAATTAATTTGTTTATTTATTGTTAAGAGTATTATAGGTGTCTCCCATTTTCTCCCTCTCTACCCCACTCCACCCAGCTCCCACCCCATCCCAAGCTTTCACCACACTATTGTCTGTGTCCATAGGCTATGCATATATGTTCTTTGGTTAATCTCTTCTCATCCCTCCCACCCTTCTCCCTACTGATATATGTCAATTTATCCTATGTATCCATGCCTTTTGACCCATTTTGTTTGTCATTTTATTTTGTTCATTTTACTCAGATCTATAAGTGAGATCATGTGATATTTGTCTTTCTCTGGTCAGCTTATTTGCTTAACATTATAATCCCCAGGTCTGTGCTGTCACACAGTGTAAGAGTTCCTTCTTTTTTACAGCCGAATAGGACCATAAACTCTTGATTTTGTGGACTTCAGATTTAACAGACAGAATTTCCAGTCCATACGTTATATGTGAAAATTAACACCCTAATGATATTAAAATGCTTTTAACAAGATTTGCTTATAATTAAATTAAAAGATTTTTTGTTATTGTTACTAATTCATTGTTATTTTTAATAAATTTTGCATATAAACCATATGTTGGGGAAAATACTGTGTTAATTTCACCGACGTAAATACATATTACATATTGACAGCAATCTTCTGCAAGAACAACGTTCAGCAAATGATTAGCATGTGATCAATTAGCACGCAGGTAATTGTTTCTGTTGTGGCATGGCGTGACTTTCTGCAACAATTGGATGCCTGCCAGCAGATGTTTCCATATGTGCTGTGCCATGCCCTCACTGTATACATTTATTTTGTCACTGGAGGTGACTGGTGAATGCACACATTTACTAGACCTATTCAATATAAATTTAAAATTACAGTAATACATATAGAAAACTTTTCAATGAAAGTAAACTTTCATACATTTTGATTTTAATGACACAAACATGTATACATAAGTAAAAACAGGTGAACTAATTTATCAATTTTTTAACTTATGTATTTGGAAAACCACTTTATTATATAACAAACTTTGGCTTTAATAGACACCCTCTCACCTGAATTAGTTCCTTATAAGCAAAGTTTAGCTATATTCCATGGTGTAAATGTACCACAGATGAGTGAATAAATTATCTACTAATGGGCACTTGAGCTGTTTCCAGATCTTAGCTATTGTAAATAAATATAGGGGAGCATATATTCTTTATGATTGGTGTATCAGGGCTCTTAGGATAAATTCCCAGAGGTAATGAGGTGAAACAGTAATAAATAAATAAATAAATAAATAAATAAATACACATCAGTAATGAGGTGAAACAGTAAATATATATATTGAATTATTGGATCAAAGGGCATTTCCATTTTCAACTCCATACTGTTTTCCATAGTGTCTGCATTCCCACCAGCAGTGTACTAGGGTTCTTTTTTTCTCCACATCCTCTCCAGCTCTGTTATTTGTTGATTTATTGATGGTAGCATTCTGACAGGTGTATGGTGATATCTCATTATAGTTTTTATTTTCATCTCTTTAATTATTAATGACCTTGAAAATTTTTTCATATGTCTCTTGTCCATCTATTTGTCCTTTTTGGAGAAATGTCTATTCACTTTGCTCATTTTTAAATTGGATTGTTAGTCTTCCTGGTGTTGAGTTGTATGAGTTCTTTATATATTTTGGAAAATAACCCCTTATCAGATATGTCATTTGCAAATATAATCTCCCATACAATGGGTTCCATTTTCATTTTGTTGATGGTTTCTTTTGCTGTACAGAAGCTTTTAGTTTGGTGTTATCCCATTTGTTTATTTTTACCTTTGTTTCTCTTGTTCTAGGAAATGTATTTGCAAAAATACTGCTACATGACATGTCTGAGGTTTTACTGCCTCTGTTTTCTTCTAAGATATTTATGGCTTCATGGCTTACATTTAAGCTTTTTATCTATTTTGAATTTATTCTTGTGTATAGTATAAGTTGGTGGCTTAATTCCTTTTTCATTTTTTGTTGTTGTTTTTTTTTGGGGGGGGGGGCTGGGAGCGGGGTTGTTTTGCATGTACCTGTCCAATTTTCTCAACACCATTTTTTGAAAATACTGTCTTTATTGTATGCTCTTGCCTCCTTTGTCAAACATTACTTGACCATAATGGTGTGTGTGTTGATTTCTGGGGTCTCTGCTTTATTCCATTGTTCTATATACCTGTTCTTGTGTCAGTACATGGCTGTTTTGATTAAAATCGCATTGCTTGTATAGTTTGTTATCTGGTACAGACAGTCCTTGGGTTAGGATTACATGGGACTCATTTTGTGGTTACATCACCATCTCCCATTTATTTATTTTAAAAAAATTCCCTCATTTCAACATATGTACATTATACTTTTTATTATTTATTTACAAGTAAAGGTCAGGAATTGTTATCTTCCTTTTAATTTTTTTTTTTAACTGTTTCAGTTCATTACTGCTGTGTATATGCTCCATGTGAGTGACGTAGGTGCTTATGTAGATGGGTTCCAACTTATAGTGAAAATAGCCTTACATTGCACCATAGAAACGGATCTCTGATGGAACCCAAGGACCTACTGTATTATGATCCCTCCAACTTTGTTCTTCTTTTTCAAGATTGATGAGGTTATTCAAGGTTTTTTTTTTTTTTTTCATTCCATATAAATTTTTGGAATATTTGTTCTAGATCTTTGAAATATGCCATTGGTATTTTAATATGAATTGCGTTGTGTCTGCTGATTGCTTTGGGTAGTAGGGACATTTTAATGATGTTATTCTTTCAATCCATGAACACAGTATATGCTTCCATATACTTGTTTGTATCTTCCTCTATTTCTTTTTTCAATGTCCTGTAGTTTTCAGGGCACATGTGGGAGGCACCTAATAGATGTCTCTCTCACATCAATGTCTCTGTCTCTCTCTCTCCCTCCCCCTCTTCCTCTCCCTCACTCCCTCCCCCCCCCCCACTCTATTTAAAATCAATTGAAAAAATATACTCAGATGAGATTTACAAAACAAAAATGCCATCAATTTCTGGATGTTAATTTTATATCCTGCTACTTTCTTTAATTCAATTATTAAATCTAGTAGTTTTTTGGTAGAGTCTTTAGGTTTTTCTATGACATTTTATTATCACTACCTTAGTTTTTTGTATTACTTTGTATTTACATACTGCAGATGTAAAAAAAAAAAAAAAAACACAAAATTAGTGTTTTAGAACAACACAGTTATTATCTTATAGTTCTATAAGTCAAGAAGTATAACAGGTCTTCCTAGGCTAAAATCAAGGCATTACAGGGCTTCTTTTCTGTAAGGCCCTGGTGTGTTCTGTTTCCTTGATGTTTGTGTATTGTAGAGGCTACCTGTTTCCTTGATTCATGCTCTTTTTCCTTCATATTCAAAATTTCAAAGCTAAATTGAGTCCTCCTCACATCACTTCACTATGACCTCTTCCACAGTCATATCTCCCTCTGAGTGTCTTCTGCCTCCCTTTTCTACATATAAAGACTCTTATGATTATAACTACAGGCCCAGTGCATGAAATTCATCAGCCCAGTCTGCACCTTCTCCTATCTGGGACCCCTCAGGGAATGTTCAATTGCCCGGGAATTGAGCCTAAACAGCACCAGACATCCCATTCACAATCTGGGATTGCTGGCTCCTAACTGCCAGCCTGCCTGCCTGATCACCTCTAACTTTTAACTGCCTCTGCCTGCCGACCTGGTAGCACCTGACTGCCTTCCCTCACCAGCCTGGTTGTCGCTTACTGCCCCTGCTGCTGGCCTGGTCGCCCCTAACTGGCCTCCCCTGCCAGCCTGGTTGCTACCAACTGCCCCTCCCCCCGCCTGGTTGCCCCATGCAGCCTGCTGTTCATAAACCCCCTGCCAGCCTCATCACCCCTACTCATAACCCCTAACTCCCCTCTCCCCTTCCCCCCCTGCCAGCATGGTCACCCCCAACTGCCCCTGCTGCCAGCATGGCTGCCCCGAACTGCTCCCCCTGCCTACCTGGTCACCCCATGCAGCCTGCTGTTCAGTTATTTGGTTATCCCTCACTAACCCCCCTGTCAGCCTTGTTGCCCTATGCAGCCTGCTGTTCAGTCATCTGTCCAGTTATTTCAGTTGTGACAACCCCTGGCTTTTTATATATTAGGATGGGCCCACTAAGGTATAACAGGAAATTCTTACTATTTAAAAATCAACTGATTAGAAATTTGAATTCCATCTTAATTCCCCTTTGTCATGTAATGTAACATATTCACAGATTCTAGGGTTTAAGACATAGGCATTTTGGGAGGCCATTTATTCATCGTGTACATTGTACTTTTGTGGCACTTTTAAGATACTCTTCTATGGAGCACCTATCTCATTTTTATAAATTCTTTCTGTAAACCAAAAGGCACCCTTATTTTTAGTGAAGTTAGTTAAACTATGATTTTCATTGATGAAATGTCAATCTTTAAAATGTCATTTATTCCTATTACCAAATCAACTATTACTCATTTCCTTATATGGAAATAGAAAATGATGGTTTGGGAAAAGAAATTCTCCAGAGGGTAAGAATAATTTTCTGTGCCGTCTTGATCTATATCTATTACTTTTCTGTTTAAAGACTTAATGAAAACATAACTTATCAGGTTTGTAGGCAGATCCTTAACACTGAAGTATGATTAATTCTTATTTTTAATGACATATTATGGGGGGAAAACTGATGTTCTCCTTAGCACTTTTGAGCTAGAAGAGTGTGAAATCCTAAGAAAGCACAGTATATTAACTATATTCTTTTAGTTCTTTCTGTTGATACACTGAATTCCTTAAAGTTTTCTAAGGGAAAATATATATTTGACTAGAAGCCCAGTGCATGAAATTTGTGCCTGTGGGAATGGTCCCTCAGCCCGGCCTGTACCCTCTCCAATTCAGAACCCCTCAGGGGATGTCTGACTGCCAGACATCCTAACCACTGGCAGGATCACCTCTGGCTCCTAACCACTAACCTGCCTGCCTGATCACCCCTAACCTCCTCTGCCTCTGCTCCTGCACCCAGGACCCAGACTTCCCTCCCTCTGGCCGCCTGCAGGCCCCCACGACCCCCTGGCCAACCACTATCTGCGAGTGAATACAGGGCAATTTAGGAATTTCCTTGAAGTGAAACATGCCCCTCACTGTGTTGCTGCCACTGCTGCAGCCAAGGCCAATGCCAACACCAACACTACTGAGGCCTGGAAACATTCCTAAAGGGTAAAGAGTAATAGAAACAGGAACAGTAAGCTTTGCCCAGGCTGGTTACAGTCTCCCAAAAGCCCCAACAGCTTTGCCCAGGCTTGCCGCAGGAGTACTGCGGGCGGCGTTGCCCAGGCCCCACCTTTGTCAGGAAGGATGTCAGGAAGATGTCCAATCTAATTAGCATATTACTCTTTCATTAGTATAGATATTTAACAGGTCTGATTATCATGACAGTGGGAATTATGACTAAGTTATGGCCTGTGGAGTTTGTCTGATTTTTATCCAAGCCTTCTACTCAGAACATTGGCGATATTTCTTACCATGTTTAATTCCCATCTATGTCTAGTACTAGAGGCCCAGTGTATGAAATTCATTCATGAGTAGGGTTCCTAGGCCTGGCTGGTGATCAGGGCCAATCAGGGCTTTTTGGCTGCTGGCCCAGGCCACCCTTCCCTGACTGCTGGCCAGGGCCTTCCTTTGTTCCACGCCGCCCCCTGGTGGTCAGCACACAATATAGTGAGAGATCTAACTCCCGGTCAAACTCCCAAGGGAGTAATATGCATATATGGCTTTTATATATGTAGACTAGAGGCCTGTTGCATGAAAATTCATACACTGGAGGGGATGGCCCTTCAGCCCAGCCTGCCCCCTCTCACAGTCTGGGAGCCCTCAGGGGCTGGAGGCATCCGGGTGATCAGGGGAGGGCAATGCCCCATCACACTTCTGCTGTTGCTACTGCCAGTAGCACAAGCCTTGGCCAGCCCTGGTTACCTGAGCCTCAGGTGGCCCTGGGTGGCTAAGGGATTGGGAGAACTGGGGGACTCTGGAGGCAGGCGCATGTAACAGGTCGGATGGCATGAGGGTCAGTTAGCATATTTCCTCTTTATTAGATAGGATAGGGTTAATAATATAATGCCTTGAAGGTTTGTTGTGGAGGATTTAATAATAAAATGGATATAAGCAGTATAAGAGTTAACTTATGGTAAACATTCAATATATCAACTGTTATTGTTATTTTCGTAGCACCTCATATTGTATTGCGATTGTTATATTGACTGTTTCTGCTACTTTCTTTTAAACTGCTCAGTGTGGTAAATGTGTCATATTCATTTCTGTATCTCTCTTCACCTATTACTAGATACAAAGTAGGTGCAATGTTGGTTGAATTAATTAAAATGTCCTGTATAAGAATTATAAAAATGTACATTCATGAAATGTTTTTCTATATAAACATGTTATCCATGGATTAGAGAATTAGGCAAACTGTTTCCCATTAAATTATTGAAAACTTACAAAGTAGCTGATAGGACAGTAAAATGAAAATAATTTTATATCCTGAACTTTGGAATAAGAATTAAAATTAGTTGCCTAAAAGATGTGAAAATAGTTTAAAAGACTCTTTAAATCTTATTTGGTCATAAAAGTATTTTTAGAGGTGGTATTTCATTCCCATATTTTTTTTATTTACTCATAGACCATGATTAAGAAAATGCTGTTGAAATTGACACACTGAGTTGAGTTTCATTATGTGCATTTAGCTTGCAGGAGGGTTCCTACTTGTTGTCCCATGCAGCAGAAGATTCTTCACTCCTAATCTACAAGACCTCTGACGGAAAACTTACTAGGACAGCATACAATTTGCATAAAACACATTGCAGCCTTCCTGCTGTACCTTCCAGTCTCTCAGTTCCCTGGGTCCCATTAGATCCCAATCTGTTGTTACCATATCATATCCATCATGGAAGAATACCTTGTACTTTTCCACCTAAGTCACTGGGTCCCACAACACAACAAAAGGTAAGATCTTTTTTTAAAACTAAATGTTCCATTGGGTTGTTTATTATTAATCTATTTCACTGACTACATAGTGTTTCACCCTGGTGTCCACATTGGCCATATTAATCATAATATCACTGTAAAAACTTCATGCATAGGAAGGATAAAGTTGTATGCTCTACTGAGTTCAGTTGTTATGTCAAGAAACTTCTCTTTTTTTGTAAGCTTTATAAGTCAACTAAAGGAAATTATACTAGCTTGCCCAGGTGGGGGGCTGTGGAGGATAACATGAGTAAGGCATCCACTCGTTAAATCCCTGTGTTCCCATGAAAAACAGAGTTATGTTTTTGATAGTTTTTGTTTATGATACTGCTTCACTTCATTAAATATTTGAGACAATTTACAGAAGAATACATAGTACAATAAAATTATGATGATGCAATTAAAATTGATAAGCAGGATATAGAAACATATAAAAAAAAAGTCTTAGTAATTAGGGAATGCAAAGTGCCTTATTAAAAGTACAATAAAACACTCTCTGCCATGTGAGGATACAACAAGAAGACAGTCATCTACAAACCAGGACAGAATTTGCTGGCACATTAATCTTATATTTTTCTGCCTCTGGAACTGTGAGAAATAAATGTCGTAGTTCCCCCCCCCCCCCAAACAAAATAAAATAAAATGTTAAAGACTTTGTATTTTTCTAAGTATTGTATAATTCAGTATTTATTGAATTATAATTAATGTTACTCTCTTTATAGAATCCTTCCCAGAAATACCAGTTGAATGTTTTTTTTTTTCTCTATCTGACACTTCTGTAAAGCCATGGCTAGAAATACTCTTGACCATGTCACTCATTTTTTATATCATGGAAGAAATTCCAATTTGACTTTAGTTTTAGCAAAAGTTTTGTCCCCTACAAATATGAATATGAATGTTCAGAAAACAAAAACCCAGTGTGATTTCCTTCCCTGCTGCCAAAAATCTTTGAGTCCAAATCATTGTCTAGGTTCTGTAATCTCTTTAACATGTGTGTCCCAGAACATATATCACTTGTCTATCATGTAGATGTTTTCCATTCTTGTATTTTTCTTTCTTTTTGAGTAAATTTACTCAAGTCCTTTGAAAAATAGCTGAAATGCAAATGCTGAAGTTTTTTCCATACGTTAGTGAGTGGGGTGTTTATATGTTTTTTAGTTTTTTTAATGTTACTGTTTGAGAAGATCTTTTTAGAAATGAGGACTCCCTACACATTCTTAGTTAACTTTGTCCAAGAAGATCTATAAATGTTAATAAGTTTCTAGTGAAAGAATGGAAAAAGTAAGTTTTTAGCATTTTAAGTCATTTATCTAAAGTTTTGGTTGGCTATTTCCAGCTTACATTTAATATAAGTAGTGATTTTTATAACCTCCTGAAGGACAATTTTCTTAACAATAGTAATTGTAAACTATTTTAGAAGGGTTTATATTATTTCTAGAATAATGATTTTCTTTTGATTTAGAAAGTCTAATGTTATTTTCTCAAGAATTCTCTGTGGAGTGGCTTATTCTTTTCAATACATTGACACAATTCTATATGTCCAGGATTTGGCCACAAAAATATCAAGTTAAACAATTCAATAATATATATATACTACAGAACACTTAAGTCATTTGCATTTTTTAGGATGGTTCATGCAGCCTGGCTGGTGTGGTTTAGTGGTTGAGTGTCAAACTATGAACCAGGAAGTCATGATTCGATAACCAGTCAGGGCATATGCCCGGGTTGTGAGCTCATTCCCCAGTGTGGGACATGCAGGAAGCTGCCAACCAATGATTCTCATTATTGTTTCTTTCTCTCTCCCTTCCTTTCTGAAATCAATAAGAATATATATTAAATAAAGTTAAAACAAAAAACAAAACAAACAAAAAAAGCTGCTTCATGCATTTAGTCCAAGAACAAATACTTAATGAGGTTATCCAGGGCCCAGTTGTATAGCCTAACATTAGGTACACTAGAAATTCGGTAACTAGTGCTTGGTTTGATTTTTTTCCCCCATGCCCATGGGAAGTTTTTGGTAACCTCTGATACATCTCCCTAATCTAGTCTTACATTGAGTGGGAGTTATCCCACTTTCCTCCCTACTTCCTGCTAATTAGGCCATATAAATGAGACATTCTAGTCTAACCAAGTTAGGCACAGATAGGAATACCAGCCTTAATAGCAATAGGAAAAGACCAAAGCTTCAGGAAACTTGGGGAAATAAGACTATATGAAATAGAAATCTTCTATTTCTATGGTATAAAAACTCATATAACAAGTGTTTCTCCCTCTGATGTGATCCCCTAGTCTCTGGTCTACTTGAATTGAGATCTCATCTTCGTGTAGTGCCTTAGGCACTAAAACCCTAAGAGTACTCCAATAAAGCCTCCCTCTGCACAGAGCAAAGCTTAATAGGAAGCTCCCATTTGCTTTTTGTGCTACTCCTGACTTCTGCTTCCAGTCCTTTTTTTTTGTTTTTATTTTATTGATTTTTTACAGAGAGGAAGAGAGAGGGATAGAGAGAAACATTGATGGGAGAGAATCATCGATCAGCTGCCTCTTGCACATGCCCAACTGGGGATGTGCCTGCAACCAAGGTACATGCCTTTGACTGGAATCGAACCCGGGACCTTTTAGTCCGCAGGCTGATGCTCTATCCACTGTGCCAAACCGGTTTTGGCTGCTTCCACTCCTTTGCAATGGGTCTATGCCTATCCCCTTTCTTCTTCAACAATCCCTGTAATAAATGTTCATTACATACACACACACACAGTCTTACAATGGAAATTTCAGAATTCTTGCTTTCCTCAATGATATAATAGATAACAGTTAGTGTGGTCAGTATACTTTTATAGTAAACTAGAGGCCCAGTGCATGAAATTTGTGTACGAGTATGGTCCCTAGGCCTGGCCTGTGATCAGGTTCATCTTCCCCAGCTGTCTGCAGCCAGCCCTGCCATCCCACAGCCACCCACTCCTGGTTCCCCATTCACCATCAAGTGATCGGAGCCTGACAGCCAGGTGAAGGGACTGAGATGTGGGCTGTTCCCGCCTGCTCGCCTGCCCTGCACCCACCATGGGTCACTCTCTGTGTGTGTGGTGACCTGCAGGGCAGGGGCCATGGCCTGGTGCCACCTGCATTCCCAGCCATGCATCCCTGGTTCCCTGTTCATCATCTGGCGATGGGAGCTTGCCAGTTGGGAAAAGAGCCCAAGAGATGGTTAGGGCCCCTCATAGTGACTGGTCAAGAAGTCATTCTGGTCATTCGACATTAGGGTCAATTTGCATATTACCCTTTCATTATATAGGATAAATGCCTGGTGCATGGTTCGGGGCCAGCTGACCTGCCCTGATGGGAGCTCCGGAATGGGGTGGGGGTCCCCACTGGGGGATGGGGCCGGCCAGGGGCCATGGTCTTTCTGGTCTCTGGTTGTTATGGCATTTTAGCTGCTGGCTTTTATTATATAGTATATGCAGTGGGCAGTAGTCTAGATCATCTAAAAGCCAGAGTACTTTTCTAATCAGTATGTTACAGAAGTTCTTCAGATTCAAACAAACAGACTGGCAGCTCAAATCCCAACTCAAGTTTGTCTTTTCTAGTCATCTAATTGTAAACCTAAAATGCCCCTAAGGGGATAAGATACTAGGTGAGAGAAGCTGGGGTCTGCTTCATTCTTAGTGAGCCAGGAACCCTTTGGAACAATGCTAGTAATATGTCTGTTGGATTAGGAATAAGAGAGTGTTGGGAGTTCCAATATCACCCATCACTCCAAATTTTATACTTCACTGGACAAGATGTGAAGGGTACAAAGTGGCTAGGGAAAATAGAGGCAGAGCCCGGCCAGTGTGGTTCAGTGATTGAGCATCAACCCAGGAACCCAGAGGTCCTTGGTTTGATTCCTGGTCAGGGCACATGTCCTACAGGGCACATGGCCTGCAGAAGGAAACCAGTCGATGATGTTTCTCTCATTGATGTTTCTATCTCTCTATCCCTCTCCCTTCCTGTCTCTCTGAAAATCAACAAAATGTATTTAAAAAAAGAAAAGTAGAGGCAGGTATGGACAGTTTCTGGGGGAAAGGTCTCAGGTTATGCAGCTTTGGTCCTTCTCTGTGAGGCATGGCACTCTGTTTACCTATTTTAAAACTTTATACTCTCTCAGAGGCCATTTCCAAATCTCATCTTCAGAATGACTATAATTTAGCAAGGAATTGTGTCTTAAGAATATATCTCTCTCTTCCCTAAACAATCAATTATAGCTAGAGAGTGAGGATGAGTAGCAACTTGCACTGAAGAGGAGACATTAAAGCAGAACTAGTACATAAAAAGTTTCTTCCCCCTTCCCTTCTTTCTCTTTTTCCGTCCTCTGTAGTCTCCGTCCATTTTGGAATTTCTCCCTCTTTACCAGCTCTAACCTTCTTATATTTCCTTCCCCTCCCTTCATAGTTTTCATTTCTCTCACCTGCCCTTCAGCTTTGTTATGGCAGATGTGTTGCTAAAAAGGCCTGTAATTCCCTCATTTTCTAATTTAACATTTCAACCTCTCCCAAATTTAACACAGAAAGTGGTTTCCCCTCCACTTTTCTTCATCTACTCTGATCTTGAAAATTTAGTACTTTAAAACTTTGTGAAATTAAAGCTTATTTATAAGCAGCCAGTTAGTTAGGGATTAAAAATATATATAAAGGACCACTCACAAAGAAAGTAATATATGTGGTAATAATACAGAGTAGACTGTACTAGTATATAAATATGTTGTAAACATGTTAAACTATTTTCTGTTCTTTGCTTCATCTCTTAGATTAGTGGAACAAGAATGCCTACACACAGCCGCAGGAATCCAGTTTCCACGGAAACCAAAAGCCTGCCTGCTCAGCAAGTTGAAAATGAAGGAGTGGCTCCAAATAAAAGAAAATAACATAAGGACTCTGCCATGGAAAATGAAGAAGAAACAGTTATAATAGTTCAACTTAGAAAAGTTTGAGGGGACACATGCCTAAAAGATCAGTAGACAAGATGAACGTTTTTCTTTTAGTGTCCTTGAGAGTTCTTGAAAAAAATATGTTGGGTGTTTGGAAATGTTTTAACTAAAATGTAATGCTATCCTCTTAACGCTTGATGTTTAAATAGAACCTAGATATGTTTTAACATTACCATGGCAGGGAAATATATAGAAAAGAAAATTATTTTTGTAATAGACCTTTTTCAAAAATTGTAAATAGGAAAATAATTTGCTTTTTTTCCAAGAGCAATACTTATCCATTGTGTATTATATTAATTAAGCTATATCACCAGCCTGCTGAGAGTGTTTCAAAAGGTTAAGTCTTGCCACTGTCAGAGATAATTTTGAGCAACATGAAACCTTGGTTCTCATTAATTGTGACAGTTCTTATATACAATTTTGAAATGATGATTGTTGCAGGTTAATAAAGAGAATACTTTTAAAAACTTAGCAAAATTCCATAGCAGAAGCCAAATTTTAAAATAAAAAGTTCCCTGCCTCTGAAAAGTTAACAATTTTTGTTGGGCCAACCATCAGTTTGTTAAACAACTTTTATTGTGTTACAGGTTTGATGACCAATACCTCTATCTCTTGGCACAAATCCCAGCTCAGTGTTGAAATATACTGAAAACAAAGAGATGAGCATGTTTTCCAGAAACATCTCATTATTTCAACTGATAAGGCTAATGTGTGGTAAAACATAAGCTATTTTTCCCTAATCTAGACTGATTAATTTAAATTTTCTATAACTATATCAGTGAATTTGTAAAAAGACATGATCAGCTGATATTAATATAGCTAATTTGGTCTTAAGGGATGGACTTATTTAATTTTTGTATTCTTGTGTTTTAATGTCCACTAAAGTTTTTAGAGATATATGCATCATTTGTAAAACAGGTTTTGTAATTGAAGTCAATATGAGCTTTGTTTTTGTAATTTTTATGTGTTTTATATTAATATTAGAAATTTACAATAATATAAAAAACCTAGAAATTTCTAGATTCCTAGAAATCTTCCCAATTGTGATAAGAATTGAGCATTTTCATCTTCAATTACCAAGTTTTATTTTGTTTAGTTTAGACTTTTGATCAGTTATGAAATATTTTTTTATAAAATATTTTTATTTAATGAGTATCTGTAAAATTGTTTTATGTATTTTAACATATGATTTCCTCTTCCTCCCATTTCCTTTTTAAAACATTGATCCTCTTTTTTAATGGATATTTTTTTCTTGTTTGTTTGTTTTTTAGCTTTGTCACAGAGTCCCATGTCCCAGAAATAGCTTAGTTGTGACTCATTTGGAAATTAACCTAGAAAAAGTCAGGGATTTCCTTGGAACTTTCTCTTTAAAAAAAACAACAAAACAAACAAAAAAAAAAAACAGACAGTGATTTCTTCAGACTTCTAAATACCAGAAAGTCTTGGCTTTCATTTTTTTTTTTTATATATACTTTTTACTTAGTAAAATGATCTTGCAAGTGATTATTTTGAAATTATCTTAGCCATACATTTAAGTAACTGTGATAATGTATGTAAAGCTAGTCTTAGTTTTCTACTTGAGCTTAATTAAGCCTTTTATAAAACATGTATTTGATCATGTCCTGTGTTCTTATTCATGATTCTTAGTGCTGAGAATGTGTAAGTAACAAAATGACATTGACAGTATGAGCAAAGATTTTTTTTTTTTTCTAAGAACAAAACACTCAGTGTTAGATAGCAAGGATGTCATGGGCCTAGCCCACTTAGACGTCCATGGTGAAGGAATTGTTTATACATACCTCTTGGAAAATATTTAATTCAGTAAAATTTGATCTAAAGTAGGCCCCACTCTCATAGCGTGTATGTATACATATATCACAGTATTTATTTGTTTATTTGACTTACTGTCTTCTTCAATAGACTCCATGCTTTGCCAGACTCCATTCTTTGTGTTTGTTTTGTTCACCACTGTGTAACCACACCTAACATAAATGTATGTCCTATAGTTATTTAGTAAATATAGGTTGACTGTATGAATAAATGAATGTGTAGCTGTCAGGGATAGATTCACATTCCAATGAAGGATGTGATACTGATCTATGTAAGTAAGTGCTCTGGTTAAGTTATATGAGAAAGTCATCTAACCTAGACCTGATAATTAAGGCAGATTTTTTTAGATAAAGGTTGAGCTGAGTCTTTTAAAAATAAGTAGGAGTCGGGCCCTTGCTAGGTAGCTCAGTTGGTTAGAGCATTGTCCCAATATGCCAAGGTTTTGGATTCAGTCCCCAGTCTGGATACTTACAAAAATCAACCAACGAATGCACGAATAAGTGAAACAATCAGTGTTTCTCCTCTCTTTAAAAATCAATAAAACTTAAAAACAAACAAATAACATGATGAGATATGTGCTTGGGAAACCTCTTGTTGCCATTAGTCTAAGGAATGGAATGGAGCGGGGAAAGGCTATTGGAAGAAAGAAAAATTGGAAAACTGTGCTGTAATTAAAAAATGGTAAAGGCCCCAAGTTAAAGCTGTAAATATGGGGATGGACTTAAGTGATAATAGAAAAATGATAACTCAATGATAAGGTTGATAAGGAGAGTTTGGCCTCATGTTACTCATTTGAAGTGCTGGGTATGTGATGGTTTTATGCACTGAGAAAGTAAGAGAATGGGAAGAAATTCAATAAAAATAAATGTTCATTGTCTTTCACCCTTTCTATTCCTTGGGTTTCAGGTTTGAATATTATATTTGCTGTGTTTTGCTACATAATCAATTACCCCAAAATGTGACTGGTTAAAATAACAAACATGTATTATCCCAGAGCTTGTGTGTGTCAGGAGTCTGGATGCCACACAGCTAGGTGCCTGTGGCTCACTGCCTCTAATAAAGTTACAGTCAAGTCGTTGGCTGAGGCTGCAGTCACTTGAAGGGTTGTCTGGGGTTGGAGCATCTGCTTCCAAGAAGGCTCACTGTTGGTGGGGGTGGAATGTCAGTGTCTCACTGGGTATTGCCAGGAAGCCTCTCTTCACTACATGCACCTCTCCATAGACATTCTGCTTGAATGTCTTGGCATAGCGGCTGGCTTACCCCAGAGTGAGCAAGGAGGAAGCCAAAATATCTTATATCTGAGTCTTGGAAGTAAAGCACTGACTTCTGCCACATTCTCCATGTTAGAAATAACTTAGTTTCACCTCTTGAAGGAACGAATATAAAAAGAATTTGTGAGCATATAGTTAAGCTACCACAAATGCTATGAACATTTTAAGGATCTAGAAGAACTAGGTTTAAGGTGGAAAGAAGAGAAAGGACAACACAAAACATCTTATTATCAACATGTTAAATCTGAGCTAGAGATAGTCAGTGTCAAACATAGTTGATCATTTAAATTTTGAATTCAAGACTGATCGCACCAATACAGATTTGGGAATCAGTGTGCCTTTGATATTTGAAATCAGAAAAAAATAATAAAATGACATGGAAATTAATGGAATAAAGAAAAAGCCATGATGGAGCCCCAAGGAAAATCACAAACTTCAGTAAAAGAAGTTTACTAAAATGGCAAGTGTGGAAGTCAGATTGATAAACCTTAGGAAATAAGTACAAAGTGAGGTGGAAACAATAAAAGTCTTCATTGCTAATTTGTCAGCAAAATTTGGAAATAATTTAACTATTTGGATTTTCTTTTGCAGTTGCAGAGGGAATTGACCTGTTGGTTCATTTCCAGTTCCAGTTAGATTCCGGGTTTGGACACCTCAAATATTTTAGAGGTAATAAGAGTTTAGTGTAGAGGGGGAAGAACACCTTTCCTTTCTAATATTTTATTATCAACATGCTAAATCTGAAGTTTCTGATGGACTTACAGATAAAGATACTAAGAGGCATGATGTGTGTTACAGTATATGGTATTTTTTAATCAAGCTTTAGAATATTTATATCAAGATTTGTTGATATAATCCCCTTTATTACAACATCTCATTGAGATGTAATAAAGGGGATATATTTAATTGAATCTTACAGTCTTGCCATGTTCCTTTGGCTAATGTCCAAACTTTTTTTTTTTTTTAATATTTTATTGATTTTTTTCCAGAGAGGAAGGAAGAGAGATAGAGAGCTAGAAATATCGATGAGAGAGAAACATCAACCAGCTGCCTCCTGCACACCCCCCACCGGGGATGTGCCCGCAACCAAGGTACATGCCCTTGACCAGAATTGAACCCGGGACCCTTCAGTCTGCAGACCAACACTCCACCGCTGAGCCAAACCGGCTTCGGCTAATGTCCAAACTTCTTACTACAGTATGTAAGGGCGGTTCACAGACCTCTGTCTGGGGTTTGGGTCTGATCTGCTGAGCAAAGTTTTCTGAAAAAGTTGAGACCCAGGTGCATATTTCTAGGATGAGTCTCTAGATTGCCTCATCAAATAGGAATGCTCTCTCAAAAGTTCACCTCGGCATGTGTGTTTCAATATATGAGCTACTGTTTATAATCAAGCCAGGGGCTACAAAAGGGTGGTTTTTTTATAGCTGTACACACATGGTATAATATGGTTAATTATCTAAGGCAGTGGTCGGCAAACTGCGGCTCTCGAGCCACATGCAGCTCTTTGGCCCCTTGAATGTGGCTCTTCCACAAAATACCACACTCTGAGCAAGTCTTTTTTGAAGAAGTGGCTTTAGAAGAAGTTTAAGTTTAAAAAATTTGGCTCTCAAAAGAAATTTCAATTGTTGTACTGTTGCTATTTGGCTCTGTTGACTAATGAGTTTGCCGGCCACTGATCTGAGGAATGGATGGGGAAAGGGGAACAGTGTAAATTAAATGCTGCTTTGAAAGTCAAGAAACAAAGATTCTGTGATTAGTGGGTTGAATTCCTCCTTTCCTTTTCTTGAGAAAAATGCATTTCTTGAAGGGGAAAAAATATTTTCTATGCTTCCTATC